GCGTTGTCAATAGTGTCGGCCGGGATCAGGATAGCCGTCATGCGGTCCAGCCATCGGCAGTCAGTATGTAGTATGCACGTTTCGCTTGAATGCCACAGCACGTTTTCTTGCTGATTCCTGACGGTTTCCGGCTGGCCGACAACTATGGTGAAGGAGAAAAAAGAGGAAAACCTCTTAGGGAAGGGGAAAAAAGGAAAAAGAAAAAAAGACGGGAGATGGAGGGGCGGGGGGGCCCGTGACCAGGGGGGTGGGGGGGGGCGTGGGAGCGGGGGGGGGGGGGGCGCCTGCGGGGGGGGGCGGGGGGGGGGAACGAGGTAAAGCGCCTGGAGGGGGGGGGTGGGGTGGTGGGGGCGTGGGGGGGGGGTAGGGGCTGAGGGGGGGGGGGGGGGGGGGGGGTGGTCCTGGGAGGGGGGGGCTGTTGGGGGGTGGTGGGGGGGTGCGGGGGGGGGGGGCGGGGGGGTGGTAGTGGGGGAAGTGGTGGTTGCGTGGGGGGGGGGGGTGGTGGGGGGGTGGGGGGGAGGCGGGGGGGGGGGGGAGGGGGGGGAATGTTGTTGGGTGGGGTTTGTGGGGGGGTGGGGGCGGGCGGGCGGGGTGGGGGGGGCGGGGGGGTGTGGGGAGTGGGGGGTACGTGGGTTGGGTGGGGGTTGGTGTTTGGGAGTGTGGGGGACAGGTTGTGTATCGGGGGGGTTTGTGGGTGGTGTGTTGTTGGTTGTTTTTTTGTTTTGTTTTTTGTTGGTTTTGTTGGGGTCTTGGTGTTGGGTTTGTTTTTTTTTTGTTTGTTTTGTTTTTTTGGTTGTTTTGTTTTGTGTGGTTGTGTGTTTTTGTAGTTTTTTCTTTTTTGTGATCCTCGCCCGTCTTTCGGTGTATAAGTAATTCTCTTATTCCCATTTAATGAGGGTGACTTCAAATTTTTTTTTTATTCGCAGCATTTTGTACCGCAAAAACTGTGTGAAGATAAGAATTTTAGTAAAAGCCCGAAAATGTGAGGACATCTCAGGAGGCAGCAACCTCACTCCACCGATTGCGAGTTGTAACCTCGCCCATCAGTGATGTCCACAGTTAATTGGGGACTTTACTATAAAATCGGTCAGGTGGAGGGGTTTGTAACCCCGATTTTCTTATCCTTGGGGAGGGCGTTGTAACCCCGATTTACCGAAATATTTATTAAAAATTCATACAGATTGTGGTACAAAGGGAGTCGCATAGTGTAGCTTATTAAAGTAAGGTATTATGGCTCCCTTGTAGTTGCGATTTATGAACCACCCAAAATAAGTAGACCTTTAGTAATTGAGACCCCAAACGCCGCTCAACTGCGCTGGCGAGGTTTGTGCAACCTCGACTCTTTGAGTTTAGTGTCTAAGTAATTGTAGGTTTTACCATAATTACATTCGACGTTGCGTGGATGTCTGCGTATGACATGAAGATGAGTAGAGAGTAGGTAAACTTTTCTACGATGTCCGCATGTGCGGTTGTATGGGAATGCATACGATCGCATTTGGGCACGATGCTTACGCCGCAAAACCGCACCTACCAAGACCGGTGAATCGGCGAGGTGTGAAACTCTCGCAAGCGGAGAAGTTGACGATAAACGCGTCCGCGTCTAAATCGTATATTCTGGTTTTATATTGAAGTTATAGTATACATTCTGTTTTTTAACGAGAGAAAGGGACCTTTATCTCTCACGAACCACGCTACCGCCTGACATGAAAAAACCCTCCTTTCCTGCTTAAGCCTCCGGGATTGTTCCATCAGAAGTGTATCCGCGAGTTAAGAGTAGGGATTCTGGATGATCCTCAGATCAGCGTGTGCTATTGAATAATACATGATCATATCACGCGGATGGGATATAATTTGTGCAGTGTGAACCAGAGACAAAATCTATATGGGAAGAAGAATATGAAACCCGATCTTCATATCCTTTTCCGCACGGAGAAAAATCTCATGCGAATCTCATAGGACAAATCGTTGAGTGAGAGCTAAACAGAAATCCCGGAGGTGGTAATCTCGTCGCTGTTAGCGTGATAGCGACAGGACCGCAAGAGAAGCGATTCGTGCTACTCGTGTGCGGTCGGACGAAGTATGAAGTATCGCGCCGGTATATCCCAGACGCGGTGACTACGTTATTCACGGGGCCGCTGGAATTTCGGTGAGAAACTATATTCCGGATCGAAACCAAAAGGTTGTCGTTTACTGCTCTTTTTGACGGCAGGACTCCGCGTCTCGTGCCTTCGCTGCCAAATATCCTTACGCGCAATGGGGTTACACCGATACTGTCTCTCTTGCGGCTGGATATCGCGATTGGGCGGCAGCGGGTGTTACCAGGACAATGCACAAGATAAACGCGGACGTCATGCGCCAACCGATCGTTAACGCAGTCGCCTAGCTTTATGCTCTACCGAGGTATGGTGGAGAGAACAGGGAGCAGTAAGGGCGTGATACTACCGATGCATACTAGTCTCTAATGGGTCGGTGCAGGGCGGCTTAGGTCTCACCTGCGGGTGTGTATGCTCGGTCGCCTGCACGGTGTTGTTGGAAACCTCGGTGATCACTCGATTCGATGTAGTCGAGCTACGCAATCTCAATTCTAAGGGCACGTCAGAGAATCGTCTCCACAGTATCTATGTATCGGTCGGCACACCGAAGGCTCAATCCGGCACGACATACATACAAAGCTTTAAGTCCTTGAATCCAGCACATCAAGTACATCACTACCGTCAAATGAAACCTCCGCCGGGACTGCCGACAACGTGGAAGAAATCTTCTCGAATACGACTGATTGTCGACGGCTGCGAGATAACTAGTCGAAGCGACCCCGTCGTATCTCGTCAACGACGCGCGATGTGCATGATGAACAATGCGATTGTTCACGGCAGTATTCTGTCCATTGAGGGACAGGTATCGCTCTTTAAACCACACGAGGGTACCTGCTACGATGCAGTGTCCCGATACCGCCTGCCGCCGGGCCTGGTGCCAGCTGAAGTGAGGCAGGTGTCCTGGGCTGCTCCAGGCGTAATTGGTGTCATGATGGCAAACCGAAACGATTAAATACATTATGGTATCGGCGACCCCCTCTCGGTAGGCTCATCCTATACGACGCACTCGGCATGACCTATCGTGAACTGAAAATCAACCGAGATGAGAACTGCACCACTTTGCGGGATATCCCGCTCATTACTCAATTGATGATGTATTATGATGCCGCGGCGGAAAATCCTGAAACCTTCGCCCCCCGCTGCTGATTACCCTTAGCACATCGATCCTGTGATCGAGACGACTCCGAGGAGGAAGGTATATGCTACTTGCCCTGATTGTAATAATCCCTTGACGCAGTTCGATTGAAAAAAACGATGTAGAATCTCGTCAGTTGTGACAGCTGTACGGTGTATGGCTTGTGGCATCGGGTGACGATCTTGACGTGTAGATAACGTCGCTTTTGATGACCTCGTTGAAGCGTACGGCACTGAGTACCCTTGTGTGTTGACCAGTACAGTCGAACTCCCTGAAGAAGTCGAAGATGCATTGATGTAGACGCTTGGAACTTTACATTTTTCGATAAGTCACCGAAAATATTCCGAAAAATGCACAAAAAAAGTAGCATATTTTTTTAAATGTGCTAAAATAATTTTAATCCACTTTTCTAAGGAGGTTCGTTAATGCGAACTATCATTTTATTGGCGATGCTAAGTCTCATAGTGTTTCACCGGCATTCGCCCAGAAATATATCAGTTGGGAAGCAGAAAGCTTCAACGATTCAAACGGCACCAAATTTGAAATATTTGAAGCCCCGTCCGATCACCCGGTAATGCAGCCGAAGGCGTAGACGACTACACCATCGCAGAAGCCTCTGGCGGTAAGTTCATCGGTTCATCTAACGGTGCTACAAACGATGGCGGCGACTGGGTGAAATACGAATTCTCCGTCGATGCAGACAATTGGCATTTCTGGGGACGTGTTATCGCTCCTTCAGTTGGTGACTAACTCTATCTACTGGGCATTCGATACCGCCGACGGTGATATCACCTCTACCAATGACGCCCCCATGAACATCTGGGACTTTTTTGAAGCAGAGTCTCTCCGGGTTGGCTATACAACCGAATGGATCTGGTTCCGATTGAACACGCGCGACGGTCCCTTTGAGGGGACTGAACTTATCCAGCACGGGGACGATCCGGTTCCGGTAGAACTGTCTGACGGAGATCACACACTGCATATCGCCCATCGCGAAGATGGTACATACATCGACAAAATTTTCGCCACAACAGATGTCGAATTCGATCCGAATGAAACCGATCCGCAGACGGCTGTTGAAGCGCAAAACAAACTTACAACAACTTGGGGTGCGCTGAAAAGCGGATTCTAAGGAGAAAAACACTTAAAGGCACCCACTCGTTGGGTGCTTTTACTTTTAAAATTGCTACCAACAACGCGGGATATACGGAACAATTGAAAAACGACTGTTATCTCTCGCTCAATGCGCAAGTAGAAACCCTCCTCCTCATCTTCCTGATGCTTGTCTGCTGTGCCGCGATACCATCTGCCGCTGAAACAACACTCACCTTCACAGACCAAACGCCGCAAGCGGGTATCCATTTCAAACACACCAAGGGTGCATCCAAAGAGAAATACCTACCGGAAACGATGGGATCTGGTGGACTTTTCTTTGACTACGATAACGATGGACATCTTGACATCTATCTCGTCAATAGCGGTAGTCTCAGCCGTGCTGCCCAACCTTACAGACATCCCGACCACATGAACGTCCTCTACCGCAATAAAGGTGATGGAACGTTCGTTGATGCCACAGTAGAAGCCGGACTTCAACAAAATCACGGTTACGGCATGGGATGTCTCGCGGCAGACTACGACAATGACGGTGACGCAGACCTTTACCTCACTAACTTCGGCAAAAACCAACTCTATCGGAATAACGGCAACGGCACCTTCACGGACGTTACGTCACACGCCGGTGTCGGGGACGGTCATTGGAGTGTTAGCGCGTCCTTCGGCGACTTTAACCTCGACGGACACCTTGACCTTTATGTAGCAAACTATTTGGATTATCAATTAGAGACCGCTCATGCTTGCTTTCTTCAAGGGGTTCATATTTTTTGTGGACCACACGAGTACCCCGGCATTCGCGATACGCTTTATCGCAACAACGGCGATGGCACCTTCACGGACGTTACGACCCGTGCGAGGGTTCACAACGCCGGAAAGGGTTAGGCGTGCTCTTCACAGACTACAACAACGACGGCTATCCCCGACATTTTCGTTGCTAACGATGCCGTTCCAGACTTCCTCTACCAGAATAACAAAGATGGAACATTCACAGACATCGCCATCACCGCGGGGGTTGCCTATAATTCAGAAGGGCGTGCGACAGCGAGCATGGGTATCACTTCCGGTGATTACGATAACGACGGCGTTCAAGATCTCTTCGTTACGAACTTCTCTCTGGAAATCAACAGCCTCTTTCGCAACGATAACGACGGCTTTTATACGATGACCACCTTTGAAGCAGGACTTGCTGATCCGAGTTTCTCAAAACTCGGTTTCGGCACCCAGTTCCTCGACGCAGATAACAACGGCACGCTTGAACTCTTCGTCGCAAACGGTCACGTGTGGGACAACGTATCAGAGATTACGCCATCGCTCTCCTACAGGCAACAATGCCAGATTTTTGGGAACACAGGAACAGGACAATTCAAAGATCTGTCTGAGACAGCGGGTCAGTTTTTCAAACGTTCTGTTGTCGCCCGCGGTGTCGCTGTTGGTGATTATAACAACGATGGCGCGACGGATATTCTCGTCACCTGTTGTGGTGAATCCCCTATTTTGCTGCGAAACGATTCCGAAGTCCATAACTGGGTGAAAATTCGGCTCGTCGGTACCGAAAGCAACCGCGATGGGATCGGTGCGAAAGTGTGGGTACATACAGATGAAACAACGCAGTTCAGAGAGGTAACGTGTGGTGGGAGTTACGCCTCTGATAGCGAGCGAACTCTCCTTTTCGGCATCGGTGCTCAAAAGACCATTCAATCCATCAAAGTAAAGTGGCAAAACGGGCACACGCAAACGCTTGATTTCTCAGATGCCGAGAGTCCCGTAAATCAAACTATCTATATTACTGAGAAAATGTAGGTGTTAATTGTCAGAATCAGGATTTGCAGGATTATAGGATTTGCAGGATTGTAGAACTTTATTGACTGCCAGCTTTTTTACATAGATGTCACCCCGCTGGGGTTCACAATTTGGACTTTTCCGCTGGATTTAGATATACTTTATCTCTGGCGAGGTCTTCAACCCTCCCACACATATCTCCAGAATCCATCGGGTATTTCAACGATCCCTGATCACCCTTGACTCACCAAATTTTCATAGCAACTTTCATAGCAACTTTCATAGCAACTTTCATGCAACCTTTGATGAAAACCGTCTAAAACCCAATACGGGTCAGGATTTATCGCCTTTCACGACACCTATTGATTTCTCGGTGTTGCTATGAAAACTGTGAAATTATAGTAAGATTTGCGAATATACAGTCATTTCAACATTTCAAGGGGTGTGTAAAGTTTTTGGCATTAAGTGCCCCGAGCTGTTCCAGTGCCTTCTGGGAAGAGTTCGGAACCCGATTAGAGTCAATTTTTTCTAAAATTCACATCTATAGAGCGGTTAAAAACCGCATCTACCGGGTCTGGAATGAAAACCGTACCGAAAATGGAGAACTGAATAGCCCTAATGCCTTTGCGAATTGGGTTGACATTATTGATTTCTGCACGTATAATAGTAAAATGATTGTATCTGGCGATAGAGGCAAATGTGGAACGCCTCAATTCTATGAATTCTAATATGTGAGGAGTAATCGATTGGCTCAACAGAAAGCAACCAATATTACGTGGCATGATGCGATTGTCACGGCAGAAGACAGAGAAAAATTGCTGAATCAGAAAGGCTGTGTGATTTGGTTCACAGGTCTCTCCGGTTCAGGTAAATCGACGTTAGCAACCGCAGTTGAACAGGTACTACATCAACAACAGCACCATACCTACGTCTTGGACGGCGATAACGTTCGCCATGGACTGAACAAGAACCTGGGTTTCTCGCCTGAGGACCGCGAGAAAACATCCGGCGCATCGGTGAAGTGGCGAAACTTTTTGCAGATGCCGGCACCATCGTTATGACAGCCTTCATCTCGCCCTATCGCGCCGATAGGGATCAGGCAAGAGAACTGATTGCTGAAGGTAGATTCGTTGAAGTTTTTGTCGACTGTCCGCTTGAGGTCTGCGAAGAACGCGATACGAAAGGCTTATACAAAAAAGCACGCGCTGGAGAGATTAAGGAGTTTACCGGTATCAGCGCACCTTACGAAGCACCTGTCGATCCAGAGGTCACGGTGAATACAGCGGAACTCTCCCTTGAAGAATCCGCCTACGATCGTCGTCTCGTCTCTTGTGAAAGCCGGCTTAGTTCCGGGTGGAAATTAGGCGAGAAACAGAGATATTCGCGTAACACGAAAATGCCACGCACAGAGGGCATGAAAATGGAATCAGTTATCAGGAACTTCAATGAGAACGGGTTCGCCATCCTGCACGGCGTTTTGGAACCGGTAACGCTTAAGGCTGTCAAACAGGAATGTGAAGCGTTAGTCGCTGAACTGGCGTTGCAACGGTGTGCGGAAGGAAAACTGACGGACACCTATCCCGATGCCCCTTTTGAAACCCGCCTGATCCGGCTCTACGAAAACTATCCAGACGAAAACCCAACCATTTTTCGTTCGGAACTCCATCGGGAAGGTTTTTTTGACGTGTTCGCACACCCTACCCTCCTTGAACTCGCGGGTCTCATCCTCGGTCCAGAGATCCGATTGTACCCGAACTACTCGGTTCGTCCGAAACTGCCGGAGAACAAACGCACAGAGGTTTTGTGGCATCAAGATGCTGGTTATACTTCAAAAGAAGCTGATGTCCTTGCGGATGATGAATGTCTGGACACCTTTAGTGCCGGTCAACGTTGAAAACGGGTGCATGGAATTCATTCCGGGGAGCCATAAGTGGGGTGTTGTTCCACACGAACAGGACGAGTACTATCTGCGCATCCACGACGACTATATCAAACCGGTTGAATCGGATGCTGTCCGTATTGAAATGATGCCGGGGGATGTCGTCATTTTCAGTAATCTTCTGTTCCACCGCGGGTTATCGAACCGTGCTTCACATATCCGATGGAGTTTAGACTTCCGTTATCAAGATGCCAGACAACCGACGCTTCGGACGACCCAAGGGCATCTCCTCCATTCACCAATTACGCCAGACGCGGTCGTTAAGGACGCAAAAGCCTGGGCACAACTCGAATTTCAGTAAGTTATTTTCGTATAGCAGAGCATCATGCCCTAACCGCACGAGGCAAGGACAACAACGAATGAAACTAATTCAATTTCATCTACCTAATTTAGGCAAGCGGGTTGGGATTGTCACCCGCGATGACGAAGTAATTGACGTAACAAGCGAGGAATCACCCGGTGTCTTAGAGGTGCTGGAACTCGCTGACAGGGACAGTAAGCATCGGTGTAATACTTGCCGACATCCAAGAAAAAGTGGCGACTCCCGCACCGATGCAATTCCATTCACTTCCAGGTGCCGGAAACGAACCAACCGAATCCGAAGGTCTCACGCTCAAAAAATTAGATGCTCGCCCCTGACGAAAATATCCCACATCTCTTATCTCCGATTGATTCCCCTGAAGTTTGGGGATGCGGCGTAACCTACAAACGGAGTGCGGACATGCGTGATGACGACAGTGAACAGGACATCTATAGTCGTGTCTATTCCGCCGACCGCCCGGAGATATTCTTCAAAGCGACCCCCTCGCGATGCGTTGGACCTAACGGCTTTATTGGCATTCGGAGCGATTCTGCCTTGACAGCGACCGACCAGAACTCGCTTATGTTCTTGGCAGCAACGGTGAAATCGTCGGTTACACCCTCTGTAACGACGTATCCGCATGGGACATTGAACGCGACAATCCGCTCTATCTCCCACAGTCTAAAGTCTTCTATGGATGCTGTGCACTCGGTCCGATGTTCCTCACACCCTCCGAAGTGGATGATCCCTACAACTTGGACCTGCGGTGTACCGTTCTTCGTGATGAAGAGATTCTCTATAAAGGCGATGTCAACACCTCTCAAATCAACTGGAAGTTTGAAGAACTCACCGAATTCCTGATGCGGGATAACCCGATTCCGTTTGGAACTGTTGTTTCGACAGGCACGGGTATCATCGTTCCGAACGATTTGCCGCTTGCCCCAGGTGATACTGTCCAGATAGAGATTGATGGGTTCGGCACGCTGTCAAACCCCGTTAAGCAACTTTAGGAGGCACAGCAATGAACACCGGTACTGAACCTTTCATCGGCATGCACAAAACGGAATTAGACACACCCGCACTGCTGATTGATCTGGATAAAATGGAAGCCAACATACAGACGATGGCGGACTACTTCAGCACAGTAAACGCAATGCTGAGACCTCACGTTAAGACGCATAAAACGCCTATCATTGCCCATAAACAGATTGCTGCAGGTGCCATCGGCGTTACCTGTGCGAAACTCGGTGAAGCAGAAGCGGTGATCCACGCTGGCGTTCGAGATGTCCTGATCGCCAACCAAGTTGTCGGTTCATATAAGATTGCCCGCCTCATCAACCTCGCGAAGCACTCGGAGATTATGGTCGCAGTCGACAATCCTCAGAACGTGCAAGCCATCTCCGAGGCGGCAGTCGCCAAAGGTGCAACCGTCAGAATGTTAATAGAAGTGAACATCGGCATGAACCGGTGTGGTGTTGAACCCGGCAAACCGACGTTAGAACTGGCAAATCAGATTCGCCAAAGTCCAAATTTGAAGTTTGAGGGATTGATGGGTTACGAAGGACATACTGTTGCGAGGCCCGACCTAAAGGAACGGGATGCCGCCGCACGTAAGGCTATCCAACATCTGATTGACGCGAAACACTACCTCGAAAAACACGGTGTAGAAGTTTCTATTATGAGTGGCGGTGGCACCGGCACCTTTAACATTACAGGAAGTATTCCAGAAATGACAGAAGTGCAGGCAGGTTCCTATGTCTTCATAGACTCCACCTACCGAAATGTAGAAGGCGTTGGAGAGCATTTCGACTGTTCGTTGTCTGTATTGGCAACAGTCGTGAGTCGTCCAGACCCACATCGAATAATAGTGGATACAGGCTTGAAAGTGCTTGCAAAAGAGTTCGGAATTCCGCAGCCGATTGGTATAACCGGGGTGGAGATGACAGGACTCTCTGAAGAGCACGGCACTTTAAAAACTGTTGGGACAGGTATCTGATACCAATGTTTCCCTCACACCGGGAGATAAACTTGAAATTTTACCAACACACTGTTGTACGACGGTGAATCTCCACGACAGATATTACGGCATCCGTAACGGGATCGTCGAATCTGTGTGGGACATCGCCGCGAGAGGCAAAAGCGCAATAATGATCACAACAACGACACATACTGTTGACGGCAGACAGATTCGACAATATCTCGGACTCGTTACGGGTGAGGCTATCATGGGCGCGAATGTTATTCGCGACTTTATGGCGGGCTTGACCGACCTTGTCGGCGGACGTTCAGGCACTTATGAGAGCAAATTCGCCGAAGCGCGTGAAACAGCACTTCAAGAGATGGAAGAAGAAGCGCAGCGCAAAGGTGCAGACGCTGTTGTCGGTATCGACATCGACTACCAGGTACTCGGTGCCCGTAACGGCATGCTGATGGTAACGGCAACCGGAACTGCTGTCAAAATTGAATGAACTTTCGTGGGAGGGGTTTGTAACCCCGATTTCCTTTGGGATACGCTTACAAACGCCGCAAGCGTATCCCATAAAAAAACATATCGGACAGGAGAAAAATTCAATGAAAACATCCGCTTCTATTCGGAAATTTGGTTGCCTTTTCAGCGTGCTTGTTGTGACGCTCCTCATGCTGATCCAGTCTCCTGTGGAAGGATACATCTCAAAACGTTACACGATCAGACAAATCATTTCCGAAAGCACCAATGTCGTATTCGGGACCGTCGCCGAGGTTAACGTCAAGCGACGGACTGCGAAGGTTAAGGTCGAAGAAAACCTTAAAGGCACGAGCGAATTTCAGGAGATTCGGATTCGGTTCGATGTCTACAAGGGAGAAGCAGATCACAGGGAAGAGATTATCCATTTCCTGAAAGAAGGCGAACCTATGATTGTCTGCTACCTGAAAGCGGGGGGACGCATTGACAGTATCGCGCATACAAGAGGGAAATGGTTCCAAACTCAAGTCACGGCAAAAAACAAGGAACGCACAGAGTGGGGCTGGTGGCTCTTTACACACTTTGAGAAATACCTCAACAGAGACAAGGCATCAAGACGTGATTCAACACAGGATTTTCAAAATGAATTGCGTGATTTACTCAGTGGAGACGCGCTTGAGCTCCTGCTACTCAAAACGGATAGATATGACTCAGAACCTCGCGCCATCGCCGAACTCGACACTGTAGCAGACTACGGTTTTGTTTATCATGCGACGACCGACCGTAATTTACCGACACTCCGCGAAGCAGACATTTTATGGCTCGGTTTCCGCTCACTTTCCGAAGGGAGATACCGGCTTAACAAGGAACAAGAAAGACGGATTAAGGAATTCGTGAAAAACGGCGGTATTGTCATCGCCTCTGGACAGGATAGCGATAAGGAACGTCCCTGCGGTAGCGGTTGGCTACCCGAACCGCTTACGGGTGTGGAAAGCCCATCTCGGAATGATTTCCAACCCACCTCCCACGCAGGTGAACTCTTTAAGACACCGAACCGTATCCGTTCAGGGCAGCTTTCGCTTGATGATTCATGGAAGGGATGGAATGAGAAATTTGAGATCCTCGCGACAACCAATAATGGCAAAGAGATCGTCATCGCCAAGTTGAAACACGGCAAAGGGATGTATCTGGTCACCAGCCTCCACAATCAGAGAGACTCGCAAGTTTCTAAGAATCGTCGAATGCTTGAGAATTTGGTGCATTTCGCTGTCCGATTTTTGGAAGCACCCAAGAGGAAGGAAAAATGAGAAAAGCGAAATTGAAACAAACAATAAAGCAACCTCGGGCTGAAATGCGGCATTTCGGTTTCCCTGCGAAGACGCTTCTACTGCCGAGTCTGCTCTTTGTTTTCTTGGCTTCCGCAAACCCCGCGCATGCGGTTATTCCGCAGCTGCTGGGACCGCTCACGGCGTTGCTGAGTATCGTTCCGCAGATTCTCGCCTTTGTTGGGGTCGCACTGATAACAGGACTCGTGTTTGCGCGAGGACACGACCAAAATGCTTTTCTATAAGTTCCGTGACTTTGCGACTGACCATAGGGTCACCGCCTCTGTTCTGAGTATGATTTTCCTCGTCGGATTTGGATGGGGCACCTATGAACTTATTCGGATGACCATAAATCCAATTACAACATCCCCTGAAACGAAGGTTCACAGAACGGAAATAGGGAACACACACGCAAACATGTCCTGGTCAAGCTTCCGAGGCGGAAAAAATCGAACCGGACATGTAGATACGCTCTCAGGACCAACAAGCGGAACACCCGCATGGATTTTCAAAGATGAAGAGTCGATGGCGGTTGACTTCTCCTCGTCTCCAGCGGTTGTTGGGAATCGGCTCTATATCGGTTCTTCACACGGTTCGATCTTTTCATTAGGCGGTGCGACCTACTGTATTGACACAGAATCACAGAAGGTGCTCTGGCGGCATACTTCTCCGACCCCAATATTTTCATCCCCCGCAGTTGCCGGCGGCAGGGTGTACATCGGTGAAGGTTATCACCACGATAGCGATTGCCGCCTCCGGTGCCTTGACGCGCACACGGGTGAACCCATTTGGTCATTCCAGACAGCGAGTCATGTTGAGTCAACCCCATTCATCAGTCAGGGGAAACTCTACTTCACAGCAGGAGCTGATGGAGTCTACTGCATTGATGCATTGGAGGGGCAACAAATTTGGCATTATGAAGGGGTTCACGCCGATATGTCGCCTGTAGTGCATAAGGACAAGGTTTACTTCGGCACAGGTTACGGGGATTATCGGGTTTACGCTGTCGATGCGCAAACAGGTGCTGAGGTATGGTCGAAACAGATGCCGTATCCCGTGTGGGGAAGTCCGAGTGCAGAAGAAAATATTGTCTTTTTTGGGCTTGGAAGGGGTAATTTTTCGGACAGTGCTCCGATACCGGCTGGTAAAGTTGTCGCTCTTGACGCGGGAACTGGCGACATCGTATGGGAACATGAGGCAGAAGATGCCGTCCTAACGGCAATCGCCGTTCAGAACGGTTCCGTTACTTTTGGTTCGCGCGATGGGTATGTCTATTCTCTCCAATCAACAGATGGAAAGCTCAACTGGAAAACTGACCTCGGTGGACCCGTTGTTTCCTCACCCGCCGTAACGATGGATACTGTCTATGCGGCAACGAAAAACGGGGACATTTACGCGCTTTCTACTGGCGACGGAAGGGTGCAGTGGGAATTTGATACGAGAATTATTACCCGAGACATAGAACTGTATTCCTCACCCGCGGTTGCTAACGGATTAATTTACATCGGTTCAAGCGACCGATACATTTTCTGCTTGGGTAGCGATGATGTTGGTAAAATTATTGGTAATCGATGATGAGGAGAAAAAATGAAGAAGCATGTTTTAATCGCAATAGCCCTGCTTGTTTTCGTCACAAACACGATAGCAGACGCGCAGTGGCGTAGTAAAACCCATGACGTTTACAATGCGCTTACCATCCCACCGGGTGTTGACATTAAGATCGGTGATTTCAGTGAGTATTGGGAAGGGGTCTTTGAAACAGTTAAAGGAAGCGACGGAACTATTTTCTGCGGGGTCGAATATTCTGGAAATGTGTTCGAAGAGCACAATGGTGGAAAGTGGAAAGGAACCGAAGACCATCAAACCTGTTTCGCTATCCTCTGGGAGCCCGAGGCAATTTATCTTGCGATCGCCGTCGATGATGACGAACACGAACACGCCGCTGCTGCCGCCTGGAACGGTGATGGTGCGCAACTTGCCTTTGAAATGAGTGGCAAACGAACCGCTGGACAGCAGATGTTTCTCTACAATGTCGGCTTAGATGATAAAGCGGAAAACATTCTCCAAAATGCGCTCAATGAGAATCCCGGCGGGGCAGGTATTGTCCCGGACGAAGATATCGCAATTGTCCGAAATGAGGATGAAAAGGAAACCTATTACGAAATCAGATTCACAGCGGAAGAATTGCAGGTAAAAGGCAAGAAATTCAGTGAAGGTTTCAAATTCGGACTCGGTATCTGTGTCAATGATGGCGATAGAGAAGCAGGACAAGAGGGACAGAAGGGATGGAGTGGTTGGTATACCCATTCCATCGTTTTTGGAAAGAACTCGGAGCATACGGGTTTGGTCGTCCTTACGGATGAACAACTCGCCGTTGAACCCGCCAACAAGTTAGCCACAACTTGGGGCATTCTAAAATCTGTGCGATAAAGGCATACCGTAAAAAAATGAGAAAAGCCGCCAAGGTTGGCGGCTTTTTTTACCGACTTGATAGACCTAATGATCGTGATGGTTCGATTTGTGATAGTGTAACCGAAGCAGATCTACGCCAAAATCGTCTGCGATGTGCCGCCACACGGAATGGACATGGTTCGCATTGTTCTGCGTGTTATCATACTCTACAAAGAAAAATGGACCGTGTAGTCTATAGTAGTGTGGCGTTTTCGGAGTTTCTTCCCCCGCCCACGCGAAGTGAATATCATTGACGTTCCCCTCGCGTAGTTTTCGGAGCTCGATTTGGGCGACCTCATCAGGTAGTCGATCGATGTATTCATGAACGAGGTTCATCAGGAGTTCGCGCTGAGATGTTTCCATAGATTCTGCGGCTAACCCTTCAACAGCCTCAAACTCAACTTTAGGGACATCGCGCGTCAAAATATCGGATGGTGCATCCGCATTGATGATTGTCTGACGCTTCTGCGTGGCATTCAGGCTTGTAAGGAGTTGGCGCGCCAGATCTTCCTCGGCAGAAAGGACCCTTAATCCCTTTTTCTCACCTTGGGGCACCTCTGCCGGATTCGAGCCGAAGAAAGACGGATTAGGTGAAATGAGTTCGCGATTGACAACGGTAAAATTGAGCGAGACATGGTGTCCTTCAGCACGCCATCCCCATGCGCCGTTACCTGTTGGATCGCCGAAAACGGTGAAAAAATAGAGTCCAGGGTCGCGCACCAATCGTGCTTCCCCAGCGGCTTTTTCAATCTCACCAAGCGTCGTCTCCAAATTAATAATTGCGCGGGCTTTCTGATAACCTTTCACACTCAAGCCGCTTTCCATGAGAGCGAACGCTGCTTCCTGCTGCTTTGTATTCAGTTCATTGAGAGAAACGCCTTCCCGCTCCCACATTTCGATTGGAATGTAGTGCCATCGGAGTCGTTCATTTCCATCAAATGGAAGTGCTGCCTTTTGGCGTAACGTGGGCGTTAATGTATCTAAAAAGTTCCCTGCCGTTCGTGCCATCTGTTCCGCTGTCGCCGAAGCGGGGATAAACAAAGGATTTCTCTCAGAATGGGTATGTGTATGTGCCACAAAATACCTCCATTAGCACAGGACAGCGGTGCGGAGACCGCGTCCTACAAATCAAGTTAATTTAGTTTGCCTTACGAAGCATCTATTTTAAACCAACTGCGCGCGAAAATCAAGTGTTTTAACAGTCCATCTCGGAACCTTGCAGTAAAATTAAAGATTCTTGACAATCGATCACAAATTTTGTAAACTTATTTAAATCGTCTCCGTTTAAGTAAGCATTTAGCACGCTATCGTCCACCTCTTGCTTCAGGTAGGACAAAATTTCCAACCGATAATCAAAAGTCGGGAATTATGGACAAATTGATTGACGATGAAATGTTAGTTGCTCAGTTCCAATCCGGTCGCCAAAACGCTTTTGATGAGTTGATGAAACGCTACAAATCCAAGATTTTCTCGTACCTTCTGCGTTCGGTCAGAAATTATGAGGATGCTGAGGACATCACCATCGAAGTTTTTTTTAAGGCGTACCGCGCCCTTGATAACTGGCAACCGAAAGCCAAGTTTTCAACATGGCTCTACAAGATCGCGTCCAATCTCGCTATTGACTATCACCGTACAAAAATGCGGCATCCTGTCTATGCTTTGGAGGACACGGAAATCCCTGAAGCGAATCTCGTTGCCACCGATCTTCACAGCGATCCCGTCCAGCAAATAGAAGAGCAGGAACGCGGACGCATCATCCGTGAGGCGGTCGATCAGCTCTCCCCGAAACAGAAAGCAGTCTTTATGTTAAGTCGATATGAAGGTTTACAACTTAAAGAGGTCGCTGAAACGTTGGATATGGCGGAAGGGACCGTGAAAATTCACCTTCACCGTGCGGTAAAGCGCCTGCAAACATTGTTGCGCCCCCTCTGGGAAAACAATGAAATCTAAAGAAAGGAGAAGAATTTATCATGCCTAAATGTATCAAATCCGAAGGGCAAGCGATTGATTATGCTTCCAAACTTCTGTCGCCAGAAGAAGAGGACCCCTTCAAAGAACACCTTAAGAACTGTCCAGACTGTACCGAAGCAGTCCAATCTTTTAGCACTGTCCTACAGTTGACAGACAAGGCACAAGCAGAATTGCGCGTGCCAGAACTCGCTTTACAAGATATTGAAATGAATGTGTACAAACGCCTCGCTGCGACACACGAGCAAACGCTGCTTTCGCGGGTCCGTGCGTACCTTGCTAACTTCGGATCTCTCTTCCGGTGGCAAAGAACCGCTGCCGCGAGTACTATTGCTATTGCTTTAATTACGATCGCACTCCTCATGGGAAATCCGTTTCAACCCGAACCGGTGCTGCGACTGACCAAAATGCAATCCGCTGATGCCCGGATCGAACAATATCGTCAGCAAGATATCCAGCGAAATTTGGAGGAGGTACTCATCACACATCATCTCCGAAATGATGCGTGGGAAACAGAAAGCCGTCTCCATCGAATGAAGGAGCACGCGCATGGGACCACTTGGACAAAGGTTGCGGACGAGCATCTTCAGAACCTTCACTCCGGAACCTTGAACACGCCGTAGCGGAATAGCAAGAGCATTTTTAAATGATTAACACTTGGGCACCGCTTCTTTTTAACGATTCGCAAAGCGTTAAATCAGGCAATTGGTTTAAGAACGATCTTCGATTAAGGATCGTTTGTGCCGTTGCGGCGGTGGCTAAAATTATAATGCGTCGGATTCAGCGGAGGCTTGCGATATTAACGAAGAGAAGCCAAGTACAAATCCTCAATCCCAGTCGCGAATTAACCGGAAACCCGCTCGTAATGAAATGGAGAGCGGACAAGAGGCCCATAGTTAAAAAGATGGAAACGCGAAGTAGACTTATACTTCTCTCACACGTGCTGCTGATTTTTCTCCTCTGCCCGCTTGCTTACGCCCACTTTGAAGAGGTGCACACCTTAATTCAAGCGGGACACTATACGGAAGCCACTAATAAGCTTGAAGCACTTGCCGAATCTACCAACGACATTGCAGTGCAGAGTTGGTGCTACTACCAGATCGGCGAAATCTACTATAACTATACGCATCAGTACACCAGAGCGATCGAGGCATACGACAAAATTCTGAAACTTGAGAAAAATGGGCTTGCTGCCGAGGAGCTCTTCCTCGCCATTATCAAAAAAGGTGATGTCCATAGCCGTATGGGCAATTACCACGAGGCTATCCAAATTTACGACAGATTGATTAAACTCGCTCCTGCCTCGCATTTCGTGCATAAAACTGGCTTGCAGAAGATACGGGATATTAACAGGGCACTCTCTGACCTAAGGGAGCAGCAGCGTATTGCGATCCAGTACAAAGGGACACCCCTTGCCGCCATCGCTCAATTTCAGATCGCTGAACTCTATCGGAATCATTCCCAACTCAACCAGCCTGAAAAAGCGATTGAGGAGTATGCGTCACTTCTGGAAGCACATCCTGATGCGATTATGGCACCAGAAGCGAGATGGCGCATCGCACATTTACGGCATACCGTTCTGAACCAATCGGCCTTAGCAATGGCAACGTACAGAAAAGTCACTGAAGATTACCCGAGCAGCAATTTCGCTGCGGATGCACTCTTTCAAATGGCGAATATCCATCGCACAACCAAGAAGTATTCATTAGCAATCCCCATCTTTGAGAAACTGAAACAGAGACACCCGAACTTCTGGAATATGCATGCTGTTCTCTATTGGACAGGCGTTTGCTATGAACAAACCTTGAACTATCCGAAAGCAATAGCGTCTTTTGAAACGTTTCTTCATGCCTATCTACCGCAACTCGATCCGGGGTATTTAGGACAGATCTCAATGCATGACAAAAGCGTGTCTGAGGTGAAGGCAGAGATTCGTAGGAAAATTGAGGAACTCGCAGAACAGATGGCGGAAGTGGAATTAGGACGATTGAACAAAGCGCGTGCAGATCGAGACTTTTCTGAAGCCTTAAGTATTGCTCAACATCTCATCGCCACGGCACCCCATACCCCTCAAGCAGAGCAGGCAGCGGAACAACTTCCGACACTTCAGCAACTCACAGCCATCGAAAACTTGCGTGAGAAACTCCAAGACCAAAACTTGGTCCCTATAGAGGTGGCACGCGCGCGATTGCAAATCGGGAGCATCTACGAGCGGAAGCCGTTACAGGACCATCCAAAAGCAATTGAGGCGTATCAAGAGGTATCGAAGCACCACGCCGATTTGACGCATTCCGCCGAAGCACTCTACCGCAGCGGACTCATCTACGCTGAGCAACTTTCCGCACCTAACGAAGCAATTCAAGCCTACAAAAAGGTAATTGAAACGCATCCGAACACCCTGCAAGCGATGATGGCAAATTTTCAGTTGGGCGAGCTCTACAGAAAGCTTCACCGTTACAACGAGGCACTGCAAGCCTACGAAACGACGATCGGATACCCAGAACGGGATCGCTATCTCGCAGGGGGATATAAAGACAGTTTCGCCGATAGGGCACAGTTTCGGATCGGACGTGTCCATTACGATGACAGACGTTACAATGAGGCTCGTTTCGCTTTTGAGGAGTTCATTCAAAACCGGACGCAGTCGCCACGTCTCGCTGCGGCTTACGTCTACCTCGCCACCATCTGTGAAAATCAGAGTGAAAATGCACAAGCCGCCTATTATTATAAAAGGGCGGAAAATCTACTCCCGGACAATCCTATTCAAATGACGATGCTCATCGAAGAAGCGAGTGCCCTTGGAAGCCTGCAAGCCACCGATTCAGATGCAGTTATGCGGTTCCTCAAAGAAAATCGCAAACGTCTTGAAACCGCAAAGACGGGATCCAATCAATAGCGGTCAGCCGTCAGCCGTCAGCGTCAGCGTTTTGGTTTGGAGTTGGCGGGTGTTCATTGTCAGAATCGCGGATTACACGGATTTCGCGGATTTTTTATCAGCAGTTGGTCTCGATTAGGAGTCGGGAAGCGCCCAAATCAGGATTCAGAAGTCCCTCCTACAGAAGAGGTACCCTCTGCGACGCTCTCGAACTTACGTTAACTTAGATTATCACAAATTCCTTAGCGACGGGTGTAACTCCACAAGGTAAGGTTCTGCTTCCGTCAAACTTTTATGTGAATCTGGCAATCTTTTGAGTTCTGCGGCTGTCTGTGTCTGGATGTCATGCAGATCCGGAAAATCATATACCAACCCCCCGTCTTGGATAATCGGTATTAGGAGTGGCTGTCCCTCAGAAATCGGTTCATCCCAGAGTGCCACGCAATCTCTGACATAATTCCCATCAACATCGGCAACGCGATAGATCTGCTTTTTGCCCGGTATAGTTGCTTTAGACGGTTCATCCAGCGACCGTTTTCCAACAGGTTTGCCATCGCTCTCGACTAACTTGTAAACACCACCGAGGGCGGACGTAGAGCCTTCACCCGTGAGCGAATTGTAGTTCGCCCCCGTAGCGAGCCGTGTGCCTACTCCGAAACTATCAATCGGTGCACCGTTTTTGAGCAGAGCGTCTATCTGGAATTCATCAAGCTCGTGACTTGCGATAATCTGGACATAATCGAGTCCTTCAGCATCAAGGATACAACGCACCTCCTTGCTGAGGGTTAAGAGGTCGCCACTGTCCAATCTGACTGCACGCAATCGTGCGCCGTGTGCCTCCATCTCCTTTGCGACAATGCAAGCGTTTCTCGCACCTTGAAGTGTATCATGCGTATCAATTAGAAGGGTGGTATTGTTGGGAAAGGTTGTCGCGTAATCGCGGAAGGCTTCTAACTCGGTAGGACGTTCGGAGATGAACTTATGCGCCATCGTGCCAACGTACGGAATATCAAAATAGTGTCCTGCAAGCACTAACGATGTCCCACTCACACCACCGATGAAGGAGGCACGAGCGGCGAGGATTCCGGCATCCCTGCCGTGTGCCCGCCTCGCACCGAAGTCGAATACAGGTCTGCCTCTTGCAGATTCCACGATTCGAGAGGCTTTCGTGGCAATCAACGTCTGGAAGTTCATGACACAGAGCAGATAGGTCTCAAAAAGTTGTACATCTCTGGAGCGACCCGTGACATTGATAATCGGTTCGTTGGGAAAAACAAGCGTGCCTTCGGGAACAGCGAACACGGAACCCTCAAAGCGGAAGTCCTTGAGGGTAGCAAGATAGTCAGGACTCAGGTCACCCCGTTGTGCCAACCAGTCAAGTGCAGTATCAGTGAAGCGCAAGTTTAAGATATAGTGGATAACTTGTTCCAATCCAGCTGCTATGAGATACTGTCCTTGCGGGACTTCGCGGACATAGTAGTTTGCTGTGCCATTTGATATCGAAGGGCGTGTCGTTCTGGACATTGAAATCTGCTTGACCCATCGTGAGTTGATAATAGTCAACAAAGAGAGCCATCTCATCCTCTGTGAGTAGGGCAGGTTTCGGTGAATTTGGGGTGTTTTTGCTTGGGTGTTTCCCCTCCCACATGCCGTTCATAGACCTTTCCCTTCGGTAACAACGAGTTTCTGGTTGACAGATAGGTTTCGATGCGTATCAATTTGACCGGAGGGCCAGGCGATTTCGAGCGTATCAACTTTTGTATGCGTTCCGAGGCCAATTTCAAGTGCGAGACTATTGGTCGAGCCAAATCCACATCCACCGCTGACCTCTCGGTAAATTACGTCATCACCCATGCGTAAAGTTACCTTAGCACCGATGCCATCCCGATTACTTTTGACTCCGACCAGCTTTACGGTGAGATAGTTGTTTCCAGTACCACTGTTGCGGTAGAAGAGATTGTGCCACTGGTCGCCGATAAACGCACCGCCGACAGGCACGTAGATATCCACATCGCCGTCAGTATCAACATCACCAAAGGTTACACCGTGTCCTTTTCCGATGTTTCCTAAACCTAACGCAACAGTCGCATCTGTAAAAGTGCCGTCGCCGTTGTTGCGAAAGAGTGCGTCGCGTTCAAGCCGTCCCATCTGTGGTGCACCGGTGGCGAGATAGATGTCAAGATAACCGTCGCTATTGATGTCTCCGAAGTTTGCCCCCATCGCGCCATAAGCGTGGTAGAGTCCCGATTCACGGGTGACATCCGTAAAAGTGCCGTCACCGTTGTTGCGATAAAGCACCTGCCGATCGCTGTTGTGCGTCGCGCCACCCGTGATTTGACCCGCGATGAAGGCTTGAAACGAACCCGAATTTGAGATGAAGATGTCCAGATCTGCATCGTTGTCTACATCCAGAAAGAAGGTAACAAAGGCATCCGTAACGGGGAGATTCATGCCAGTTGACAGTGTGACATCAGTGAACGTCCCATCGCCGTTATTGCGATAAAGTACATTGGATTGTCCGAAGTTGACGACATGCAGGTCGATATGCCCATCCTTATCGTAATCCCCCCAAGCCGTTCCGAGAGAGTTTCCCGTATTCGCTACACCGGCTGCCTCTGCTGTATTCGTGAAAGTGCCATCCCCATTGTTCCGGTATAAGACATTCGCCGCGCCATCACCGATAACCCCGTCCGCAATGTAGAGATCCAGGTAGCCATCGTTGTCGTAATCTGCCCAAGTCGCGCAGAAACTACTCTGTGGGTCTGCGACACCGGCAGTGTGCGTAACATCGGTGAACGTGCCATCGCCGTTGTTGTGATAGAGCGTGTTCTCCGCTGCGCCAGACCAACCCCCACGGGTGATGTAGAGATCCAGATAGCCGTCGTTATCGTAATCGGCGAAGAGTGAACCCCAACCGCCTCTCGGATCGGCGATGCCTGCTTCATTCGCGGTGTTCGTAAAGGTGCCATCGCCGTTATTGCGGAAGAGCGCGTGTGGTTGATACGTGCCGACAGCAACGATGTCCAGATCTCCGTCATTATCGTAGTCACCCCAGGCACTGCCGCGCCCGCCGTCAACTTTGTCCATTTTTAAGTCGGGGGCAATGTTTGTGAATAGAGAACCTTGTCCCACAGAATTCGGGGTTACAAACCCCTCCCACGGTTGGATTTTAAATTCCTCCGGCAATTCGGCTGGATAGCCGCCGAGTTTTGTATAAGCCGTCCACAAGTTCCATAAGGTTTCGGGATCGCGAGGTTTGAGGCGGAGGGACTCCTTGAAATTCTCAACGGCTTTTTCAGGTGCACCGTGTCGGAGATGATAGACTCCGAGATAGTAGTAGGCACCCGAATGACGGCGGTAATTCTGGATGATATTTTCAAACCGTTCAGCGGCTTTGTCTGCTTCGCCGAGGCGGAACTCTGCCAAACCGAGTTGGAGCATCGCCTCCAGATTATTCGGTTCAAGTTCCAGCACCTTTTCAAACTGCCGTTTGGATGCTGAGAGGTCCGGGACGAGCATCTGTTGTGGCGCGCCTAAGAAATAGCCGAGTCTGATGCGCGCTTCGGTATCGTCAGGGTTAACCTCCAGAGCATTGGTGAGCGCAGTGGTAGAATCAGAAAAGCGTTGTTGATAACTGTAAACCTGCGCTAATGTTAGGTAGGCTCTTGAGAGTTTATCCTTGTGGGAGGGGTTTCTAACCCCGATGCTTTCAAGCAATTTTATTAGCGTTTGTAATGTCTCTTCGGCACGTGCGAACTCCTGTTGTCTGATATAGGTGCGTGCAAGCAACATGCGCGCATCGTGGGCATTGGCATCAATCTGCAGGCACGCCTGAAACGCTTTTTCCGCGTCAGCGAAGTTATTCATGTCCAGCGCGTCCATCCCTTTTTGATAATGTGCCGTGAATTGCGGGTTTACTTTGCGCTGGGGTGCATCTGGACTGCAGCCGATACTGATGAGGAGGATAAGGAAAATAGAAAAAAGTCGTTCGCATATCTGTTTTTTTGTCTGAATCAGGATTTTAGGATTTGCAGGATTACAGACAGGGGATCAGGAAGATCAGTGTTTACGGACGCGGAGCGTGGTGCCTACTACTTTTAAGCTACAAATCTGCCAGCCTTGCCTTCAACGCTTCTTTTTGGACGGGTTTTGTCAAATCCATGAGATAGATTCGCATGTGATCGGAACGGTCGGAACTGAATACAAGCATTCTTCCGTCCCGTGAGAGGCTCGGTTCAAAATGCGCGCCGATGTGGTTCGTGAGTTGGGTTTTGTTTGGGTTTCCGTTGGCGTTCATCGTCCAGAGCGTATAATGGTTATGCGCGTTCGAGACATAGATAATCCGTTTGCCATCCGGACTGAAAGTGGGATGATAATGGCTTGCATTTTCAAATGTCAACTGCTTCACCGTGCCACCCTCGGCGTTGACGCTGAAAATTTGGTAGATGTTGTCCACCATTCCGGTGAAAGCGATCTGCTTTCCATTGGGTGCCCACGTTGGATGTCCATCGTCTACAGCGTTATGCGTCAGCTGCTTCTTGTTTGTGCCATCAATATGAATGATGTAGATTTCTAATGTGGCGTTGTTCTCAGTGCTTCCGGGGTTGCTCGGCGTTTCCTGAGTAGGTGCCTTGGATTCAAAAGCGATTTTTTGTCCGTCAGGCGAAAAGGCAGGTGCGCGCTGTGCCCCCTCTATATCAATTAATGGACGCTGGTTTCTCCCATCAATATCCATGAGATATATGGTGGCAGCACTCGGATCAGATCCACTCGCTTGGACAGGTGGGAGCATCATACCCCCTCGGGTGCGTTCTGTAACGAAAGCGATAGACTTGGCATCTGGTGAAAAAGCAGGCATGTATTCGTCAAGTTCATCGGTATGCGTGAGCTGCTGGAGCGTGCGAGTTGTGAGATCCATGAGATACAACTCAGCGTTCTCAAGGCGATTTGAGGCGAAGGCGAGCCACTTTCCGTCAGGCGAAATTGCGGGACTATAATCGTCAGTATACTTTGCAATAAACGTCATTATATTTCCTTTTTCAGTGAAGGTCTGCTCGTAGTCGTCGCTGCCTTCGGTGCGAATACGCTGGACGTGGTAGGCATCCCCGGTGAGACCTGCTAACTGAAGGAGGATTTCCTTTTTGGGGGAACCGATCAGCAGATTTTGAAACTCGGTGCGCGCAAGGGAACGGTTACCGCTGTGCCAATAGACGCGCCCGAGTGCGAGTGTTATTTCTGGACGTTTCGGTGCCAATCTTGCCGCATTCCTGAATGCATCGATCGCTTGCGTAGCATCTACTAATCCTTCATACACCAAACCGAGCTGATAGTACGCCTCAGCATTGGAAGGATTCTGCTTAAGTGCTGCCTGAAATTGCTGAATGGCGGACGTAGTATTGCCTGTTTCAAGAAACGCTTTGCCGCGCTCAATGGTGGGATCTCCACCGCACGCGAGCAGAATTAAAAATATAGAAATGGATAGGTAGAAATAGTTGCTCATTTTTGCGTTATATGGATTCGCTGGTTTGCCGGGATATTATGAAGCTTCTGCGTTTCTCCGTTCTGCCAAGTAACCTGTAACGTCTCAATCTGTGTGGCGTTCCCCACGCCAAATTCCGCGATGAGACTGTTAAAGGACATGTAACTATCACCTGCGTAAATCTCTCGTATCTGCGTCTGATCTGCCGTTTTCACTTGGATTTTCGCGCCGATGGCATTTCGATTCGCTTCTGTTCCAACGAGTTTGACATGGAGCCAATTGCTGCGGTTTCCGCCCTCATTACGCAACAGGGTCGGTGGGGCATGGTTATTGACAATGAAAATATCGACATCGCCATCGTTATCATAGTCTCCAAATGTTGCGCCGCGACCGACTCGGATAGGGAGTGCCGCAATTCCTGCCTCCTGACTAACATCGGCAAATGTCTCATCTCCATTGTTTCGGAACAACATATCAGCCTGCGGGATAAGCACCTCTGGTTGTCTCAGCTCTTGGAAAGTACTACCGTTCGTCACAAAGATATCCAAATCACCATCGTTGTCATAGTCAAAGAGGGTGGTGCCCCATCCGATCTGCTTGATACTCTCTTCAGCAAGCATAGCGGTATAGGATTCATCCACGAACCGGATGCGGCTTGGATGGAAGGATGGAAGGGTGGAAGGAGGGGTGTCCACTCTTCCGTTCTTCCCCTCTTCCATTCCGTCTGCTTCTTTCAACAAATTTCTATAGAGTGCGTTTTCTTCGTCCACCCAATGGCTCATAAAGAGATCGATATCCCCATCAGCATCGTAATCGCCAGCGGTGAGTCCCATAGAACCGCGAAAATCTGCCGCCCACGATTCGGCACTGACATCCGTGAACGCGCCACCTCCATCGTTGCGATAGATATGGTTCGTGGAGGTATCATTTGCGACATAGAGGTCCACATCGTTATCGTTATCAAAATCGCTAAAGATGGCTTGCATGCTTCTACCACCTACTGCTGCGATTCCTGTTTCATCGGTTGCATCGGTAAAAGTGCCGTCCCCGTTGTTCCGATAGAAGACGTTATCTTGGGGTTCAAAGACATGCGGATTCAGGGCACTCGGTACGGGTTTTCCAGATTGTAGGGACTCTTCCTTCATCTGTTCCAACTGCTCTAAATCGTAGGTGACATAGTTGCAAACGTAGAGATCTAAATCGGTGTCGCCGTCTACGTCTGCGAAGGCGGCACCTGTGCTCCACAATTCGCAACCGACACCGGCAGCTTCCGTGACATCGGTAAAGGTGGCATTCCCATTGTTCCGATAGAGGACATTCTCACCATAGGTGGTTAGGTAAAGGTCGAGGTCGGCATCACCGTCATAATCTGCGAAGACGCACCCCATGCCGTAGCCTTGATGCCCAACACCTGCGGCACGCGTGATGTCCGTAAATGTGCCATCACCGTTGTTACGATAGAGGGCATTGGCGTTGCCCTTATGACTCTCTCCACCTTGTGTAAAAGGGACCGGAGATATTGACAATGTAGAGGTCGACGTCCCCGTCGTTGTCTATATCGGCAAAGCCTGCGCCGGAGCCCATGTCTTCTGGGAGTAGGCTGGAACGGGTTCCACTTGAATGCTGAAAACGGATGCCGGCTTCGTTCGTGACATCAACAAAAGTAACCGCATTTAGCGTCATAGCCGTGAGCATAGAGATTGCAAACGCTACGAAGAAGTATACACGTGTGGCATATTAGAGTTGTCAGTTAACTGATGACTATTCCTTATGTTTCTAAAAAATTGGTAAAAATGGTTGCGCCGCGAAAGCGTTCATCGTTGAGGATAGTCTGGAAGAGCGGAATCGTGGTCTTTATGCCTTCAATTTCAAATTCAGACAATGCGCGTTTCAACCGTGCAATCGCCTCTTCTCGATCCCTGCCCGTCGCGATGAGTTTCGCCACGAGTGAATCGTAGTGCGAAGGGACAGTATACCCCGTGTAGAGATACCCATCAACCCGAATACCGATGCCGCCGGGAGGATGGTAGGCTGTGACGAGCCCTGGTGAAGGCATGAACTGATTGGCTGGATCTTCGGCATTAATTCTGCATTCAATCGCGTGTCCTTGAATCTGAACATCGGATTGGTTATATCCGAGTTGATCCCCCATTGCGAGTCGAATCTGTTCTTTGATGAGATCAATGCCGGTGATACTCTCAGTGACAGTATGCTCAACCTGAATCCGTGTATTCATCTCTAAGAAATAGTAATTCTCATCTTTATCGACTACAAATTCAATGGTCCCAGCATTTGTGTAGCCGATCGCTTTTGCGGCTTTCGCGGCGGCTTTACAGATCTCGTTACGAAGTTTAGGTGGAATCGAGGCGGCAGGTGCTTCTTCCAAGAGTTTCTGTTGTTTACGCTGGATAGAGCACTCCCGTTCGCCTAAATGAACAACGTTACCGTGTGTGTCCGCCAGAATCTGCACCTCAATATGTCGTGCTTCTTCAATCCATTTTTCAATATAGACATCCCCATTACCAAAAGCCGCCTCACCCTCTGCCTTCGCGGTATGAAAAAGATTCAGTAGGCTCGGCTGATTTTCGGCGATCCGGATGCCGCGACCGCCACCACCTGCCACGGCTTTAATTCCCGACAGGATACCCGATTGTCTCAGCGATCTGCGCGGCATCCTCGGCGGTGTCCACTGTTCCTTTTTTGCTATTTTTACGCCTACCGCCCTGGCTGCCGGGTACAAGTTTCAGCCCCGCTTTTGCCACAGTTTCGCGTGCCCTCACTTTGTCACCCATCGTGGCGATATCTGTGATGGAGGGTCCGATAAACTTTATCTGGTGTGCCTCACAAATTTCCGCAAATTGTGCGTCCTCCGCCAGAAAGCCTGCGCCTGGGTGAATTGCGTTGACATTCGCATAATCCGCAACAGTGATAATATTGGAGTATTTAAGATAACTCTCAGTTGATGGCGGTGGACCAATACAGTATGCCTCGTCAGCGTGTTTAACGTGTAGTGCGTCTTCATCAGCGGTTGAGTATATCGCTACCGTCTTAATCCCCATGTCTTTGCATGTCCGGATGATGCGGACAGCGATCTCACCACGATTTGCTATAAGTATTTTTTTTATCATGTTTTTTTAATGTTCCTTGCGGAAATAGTTATCAGTTAACAGTTTGCCTCGCAGTGAGAGTCATTAGTTACCAGAGACTCCTTGGTTAAACAAAGCCTCTCTTTAACTGGTAACCGAAAACTGAAAACTAAAATACTATGCCTGCTTCACTCGGAACAACGGTTGTGCATATTCAACCGCCTCGCCATCTTCAGCGAGAATCTCTAAGATCTCACAGTTAAACGGAGCTTCCACGGGATTGTAAGTTTTCATAACTTCAAGGACGGCAACGGGTTCACCCGTGGCAACTATATCCCCGACTTTTACAAAGGGTGGCTCATCAGGCGCAGGGGAACGGTAGAAGCGCGAGGGCATCGGTGCACTGATCAATGCATTATTTGCTTCCGCGCTGCCGTCCGTATCTGGGTTCTCTACAGGGAGCTGCGGTGTCCCCACCGCTACGCCCGTCTCTGCTGATCGTAGCGCGGGCTGTTCATGTCCTGGGGGATTCCCGCGATACCTGGAAACCTGTATCTCAAATTCCTTATCCCGGATGCGGACTTCCGAAAGATCGGTGCGGTCAAGAATTTCCGCCAACTGTTCAACAATTTCCAAGACATCGCTGTAATCTTGTTCAGCAGATTGAGATTTATCCTTGGATCTGTTTTGACGCATTTCTCTTTTTAATAGTTTTCAGTTTTCAGCCATCGTAGAGGCGGGGTTACCCCACTCCTACAAAGCCGATAGCCGATGGCTACTATATCCTTTCTACATATTTTCCGGTGCGCGTGTCAACTTTGACACGTGTTTCGTTCTGAACAAACAAAGGAACATTAACGACACCACCCGTCTCAAGCGTGGCGCGCTTTGAACCGCCGCTGACAGTATCACCTCGTAACCCGGGGTCGGTTTCAACAATCTGAAGCTCAACGAAGTTCGGAAGTTCAACGGCAAGTGGGATTACACCTTCCATTTTGACGGTGACAGTTTCACCCTGCTTTAGGAACTTCAAGCCATCTCCAATGAGATCTACAGGGAGTGTGTGTTGTTCAAATGTTTCATTGTCCATAAACCACAACGCGTCCCCATCTCGGTACATATACTGCATCTGGTGGTCCATGAGCCTGACGGTTTCGACATTTTCGCTGGAACGAAACGTCCTGTCCAAGACAGCACCGTCGGAAATACGTTTGATTTTGGTTCGTGCGAAGGCACCACCTTTCCCTGGCTTGACATGATCACAGTTGACTATGGTGTAAATTGTATCGTTGAGTCGGATAACCAACCCATTGCGTAACTCGTTAAGTACTGCCATCTTCTCCTCTTTTAGTAGTTATCCTGTCGTCAGCATTAACTTTAACCATCAACTCGTGCTTTAACATTTATAACGGAGACGAGTTGATGGTTAAGACTGACAACTGATAACTATCATAGCAAGGCGATTGCCTGTTCCAACGCCTTTGCTCTGTGACTAATCCGGTTTTTTATTTCTTCCCCTAATTCTGCGAAAGTCTGATTATAACCGTCAGGTACAAACACGGGATCATAACCGAAACCGCTCTCTCCGACGGGATCGTGCCTGATGTGTCCCTCACAAACACCGAGAACGCCTTCAGGGTCGGAATTAGGGTGTACGACTGCAATCGCGGCGATAAACCTCGCACGCCGATTGGTCGCGCCTTCAAGTGCTTGAAGGAGTTTCGCAATTCGGATATCATCCGTCGCGTCTTCGCCTGCCCAGCGTTTGGAGTTAATGCCCTGGTGCACCGCCGAGAGCATCTACCTCCAACCCAGCATCGTCAGCGAGGGTGAGGTGGGATGTATACTCAGCGATAATAGATGCTTTTTTAATGGCATTCTCCATATATGTTTTCCCATCCTCAACAACCTCTGGGGCGTCTGGATAACTTTCCAAAGAGATAACTTCGACCTGTTGCTTGGAACTCGCTTCACCGCAGAGCATGTTTGTGAGTTCTCTCACTTTGCCTTGGTTACGCGTCGCCAATATGAGCTTCATCTAAATTCTCCAACATCATCCGATTCTGGAGCCGGATGAGTTGCTGTATACCCCCAACGGCGAGATCCAGCATTTGGTCATACTCGGCACGCGAAAAGGGTTTTTCTTCTGCGGTGCCCTGTATCTCTATAAATTCTCCGTTCCCTGTCATAACAATGTTCATATCAACATCCGCCGATGAGTCTTCCGTGTAGCAGAGGTCTAACATCGGTTGACCCTCGATAAGTCCAACACTTGTGGCGGCAATGTTGTCGGTAATAGGAAAATTTTTAATTCTGTTGCTTTTAACGAGACTTTGGCAGGCATCCCAGAGTGCGATAAAGGCACCTGTAATGGCTGCGGTGCGTGTCCCCCCATCAGCTTGAATGACATCACAATCAACCCAAACTGTCTGTTCTTCCAAGGCATATAAATCTACAGCCGCACGCAAGGAACGACCGATGAGGCGTTGGATTTCCTGCGTTCTACCACTGACACCGCCACGGGTTATCTCACGTTGCATCCGTTCAGAAGTAGAGCGGGGTAACATGGAGTACTCCGCCGTTACCCATCCCTTATTTTTGATACGTTGGTTGCGCATGAAACGCGGCTGTTGGTCAATCACAGAGGCAGTGCATATAACACGGTGTCCCCTGTCGCAACGAGCACAGAGCCTTCAGCGTGTTTGATATAATGTCGTTTGATTGTGACGGGACGCAGTTCATCTCGTCCGCGTCCATCCTCTCTTACCATATTTCTCTTCCCTATTTTTTTAATTGTGGCATCTGGGCGCAGTCCAGGTGCCAATTATTTAAAAAAGGTTTCGAGTAACGCTAACGCTTTTGTATAACTTTTCCGCTCAAGATAGTGCAGCAAATTTTTTGGAGCCGCCGGCGCGAGTTCCTGATGCAGCGCGTCAATTCGTTCCAACTGTTCCAATATGTCCTCGCCAGCCTCGATCCGTGATAGCATCGTCTCTAACGCCTGCTTGAGCTCAGAAAAAAGTTCAGTTTGCATCCGATGGCTCCATTTGCTCAACAGCTTTGCAGGTGCGCAGGGAAACGTTCTTAGACGGTGCATCGTAGCCTTTCCACGCATAAGGATCGACACCAGAGACCGGAATGATACATCGGCGGTCAGCACTTGCCGCGCGTTCCCCCTCCTTAATCGCCCATGGCAACAACGACCATGAATTGCAGTAATGGTTCACCAAAACCCTGCGATATGTATCTCCACGGTTTTTACGAGAGCGGTGGAGTAGATAACCGTTAAAAAACACTAATGTGCCGGTTGTAACTTCAACGGGCACCTCATCTGTGTCATCAAAACCGTGACTCTCCCAGGCAAAATCGAACTCATCTGGGTTCTCGTGGTATCTCTGTGGATAGAGATATCCTGGACGATGCGAGCCGGGAAGGACCCATAAACATCCATTTTCTATGGTTGCCTCGTCCATTGCGGTCCACGCGCCAATCAAGGAGCGATCGCGGGTCGGAATATAAAATTCGTCCTGATGCCATGCCTGCCCTTGAAAACTGGGCGGTTTTACAAAGAGCATCGACTGCATACACTTGACGCTTCCGTCCCAGTAGGGTAAATGTGCGGCAGTTATCTGGCTCAGAATACCACAGATTTTCGGGTGCTTGACGTACTTCTCGATAATTGGACTGACGAAATGGGGTTGATGAATACAAAGGATACGTCCAATGGCTTCGTCATCGCTGACATCCTCAGGAAGCGGTTGGAGACTGTCGCATGGGTGTCCACCTTTGGCAAGCGTAACAGTGTCCTGCCGCAACTCCTCTATCTCATCCAGAGAGAGCAGATCTGGGACAACAAGATACCCGTTGTCGACAAAAAATTGGACCTGCTCATCGGATACAACTTGTGGCACTTCAATCGGTGCACTCGGTTCAAAGTTCATTTTTTAACTATGGCCTCCTGTTAACCATCAATTCGTGCTTTAACATTTATAACGGAATCGAGTTGATGGTTAAATCGCTCCACTACGTTTCGTTTTTCTAACTATGGGAATCTGGGTATTGTTCCAAATGTAAAGCAAAGACAAATTATGCCATTTAAGGCATAATTTCGTTTCACGCAGGAAGAATAAATGAAAATGTTTACATTTTCATTTATTGTCTCCTGACAGGTTTCCGGTCAATTTTGCGGCGTACTCGCCCATAAGCGATCTGCTTCAACGGGGACTGAACCCCGTAGGGGTAATATTTCTGTAGAGGAACTGCGCCCAGATGCTCATTATAAAAACCTAAACGCGGTTGGCGAGGAACATCTCTGTTACTGCTAAAGCAAAGACTGCTAACATGAGATAGATCCATACGTTTTGATTCCTCTCTACATCTTCATTGTATTGCGCCACGAGTTCAGCCGTAGGTTTATCTTCGACTAATTCATCCGCTGCGCCTTTCAGCATGCTTGCAAGCTCCTCAACATCGCGCACCGCAAGATCGGACTCAGTGGTATCGACGTTGACTACAAAGTAGTCCGTAACTTCTGTGCCAGACCTATGAACTGAATAGATACCCGGTACAGACGTGTCTGTATATAAGACGCTGCCTTGTGGAGTATTCTCTGCTGCCGGCGTAACATCTTTATTTCGTCCGAAGCGCGTCTCAACGTTGTTTGGATTGAAGATCGCGATCTCTCTGCTCTCGGTTATGTTCTCATTCTCAGTTTGGGAAACCTTTAGTTCTATATAGTCTCCGACGCGGTAATCGGGCATGGTTTCTACGTCTTTAAGTGCAAGATACTTAATAGATTCATGCAGGAAAGGCAGATAAACGGCGCGAATCGGTAAATCGTTCCATTCTCGGTCTATCGTTGAGGTAAAGCAGAGCACACGCCCTAAGTTTCCGTAAGGCTTTTCAAAGAGTGCAGGACTGCCATCGTCATAAGAAGCAATGACGGTAGCATTTGCCGTTGGTACCGCCTGAAAAATTCTATAAAACCGCGCCTTACCAAAATCGCCATGGTTCGGCTCCTTGAACGGAACGAAAATCGGGTGTTCGTACTTCACTGTCGCAAGGACGCGAAACTGCTGACGATCAAAAGCGTCGCCGACGGGTCGGACGAAGTTACAAGGCATCAAACCTATCTCACCACCAAGACGCTGTTCATAAACATCAGTGTCTATATTATCACCCACTGTCACAATCAATCCGCCGCCTGAAGCAACGTAATCTGCCACGCGTCCAGCTTCGTCGGAAGAGAGTTGTGCTACATTGGCAAGCACCAGAACATCGGTGCGACTGAGTGCCGCCGCACCCGGCACCGAACTTGATTCGGTAAAATCAATAGGCACCGCGCCACTTCCTGCTGTGAACGCCATTTTCATGAAAAACGTTTCCATCGTCTGTCCATGAAGATGTTGATGGGGATTTTGCGTCCGTGGTTTGTCCCTGACGGCATGAACCTTGATTGAGCGCAGGCTTTGCAAAGTAAAATAGCGTTCGTTGTCACCCCCCAGCGCATCTTCAGGCAGTTCAACCCAACCTATATGTGTCGCCTCGTCTTGAAAGTCGACCCTGAAGACAGCATCCGCGAGGTCGTCCGGCTCAATGTCAAGTTCGACAGTGTGAATCATATTTCCATCTACGAACAGACCAACCGGTAGATTCTCAATAGCCTCATCGCTGAAATTACGGACGCGCGCGACCAGATATGATGCTTTCTGTTCCTTCAATATAACAGGCGGTACACTGAGGTCTGTTATCGCGAAATTGCGCGGTTGTTCGGGATGGACATCAATAAACTGAATTTGGACATCAGGGTTGAGTTTGTCGGTTTCAATGAAGTTTTCCCATCCCCGCTTTTGCATATCAGCAATCAGATAAATCTGTTTTTCACCGATAGGAATAGACGCAAGTATTTCGTCAGCGGTTTGCAGTGCATCCAAATAATCTGTAGGTTTATAAGTGGCTCCTGCATCGTTCAAAGCCGCCCTAATGTGTGACAACTCTGAACCGAGTGGTGCAACGACACGGGCATTGTCCGAAGAAAGAATAAGACCCGCGGCATCGGTTGCATCAAGCCCGTCAAGAATTTTGATACCCTCCCTTTTTGCGTTCTCAAATACCTTCTCATATTGCATACTATAGGAGGTATCCAAAATAACAATTGCGTTTCGTTTTCCACCTGTTTTCTGTGCAATGACTGGCGCTTCAGCGAAGAACGGTCGCGCAAACGCAAAGCCGAGTAGTGCCAATATCAGAATACGCATTAGCAGAAGCAGTAACCGTTTCAACTTATGCCGTCTCACGTTTGTCTGATGCGACATCTGGATGAAACGGATGGTGCCGAACACCAATCGCCTCGCACGTTCTCGGTTCAACAGATGCAAGATAAGTGGGATTGAGGCACCTATAATACCTGCCGCCGCGAATAAAGGGGCTAAAATTCCTAATCCAAACATCTTTTAACTATGGGCTCCTGGGCATCGCTCCACTACGGAGAAGAGAAATGAAAAACTGTGTTTTTCATCTTCCTTCCTCGTTTCGCGATGGTTTTCGGTTAATTCTAACTGAGATAAGGACCTGTGCGATTCCTATTTTCTAATTATGTGCTTTTGGGATCGTTCCTCTATGCTGGCGTGCTTCATCGGAAATTTCTATTAAGCTCTCCAGCGGAGAGCCATATCTATAGGACTCCTTGACGCTTAGCGAGATAAGATGCCAGTGCTAAATCAATCGGTGTTGCTGTTGTGATCATGTTGTAATCAATATCCGATTGCCGCAGTGCGAGCCTATAAGTATCAAGAAATTCGTTGAAATTATTCAAATAACTCTCCTGAATCGCTTGCGGCGTTGTGATAATCTCAGCATCATTTTCCGAATCAATAAAACGGATAAGTGCTTCTGCGCTCCTTCCTGCTGCAAAGTCGGCAAAAGCAAGTTCCTGATGTGCGAGAACATGAAAGACGATGACCTCATGTCCATTATATCTGAGATGTTCTAAACCCTCGACAACTTCTGCCTGATTTTCATCGTAGAGGTCGGAGACGAAGAGGACTAAGCCGCGCTTGGTTAGACGTTCTGCGATTTGATGCAAGGGCATCCCCATCCGTGTACTTTTTGCGGTTTGCAGCGTCTCCAACGTAATCAAGATCGAGTGCAAGTGCGATGTGCTACTTCGAGCGGGAAGGTATTGGCGAAGTGTGTCATCAAAGTACGCAAACCCAACAGCATCCCGCTGCTTCGCCATAAAATAGGCGAGTGAGGCGATGAGGAAACTTGCGTATCGCAACTTTGTTAGTTTTTGCCCTGTTCCCCCCACCTCTATAGTCGGATCATCCACTTGCGCCTCATCTATCGGATGCAACATAGACTCGCTTGCATCTAAAAGGAGGTAGCAATTGAGATTGGTTTCCTCCTCAAATTGCTTGATATAGTGACGGTCGGTGCGAGCGTAGGCTTTCCAATCTATATGTTTGGTATCGTCTCCGGGCATATATTGTCGGTATTGCGAGAATTCGACACTGAACCCGTGATACGGACTTTTGTGGAGTCCGGAGATAAAGCCTTCAACGACGAATTTTGCAATCAATTCAAGATTCCCGATTCGGGCGAGGATTGCTGGATCTAAAAATGAGCGTCCGGCTGCTGAACTTTGTTGCATGCGTATTCTCTCAATATAGCGGTCAGCAATCAGCAGTCAGTTTTAAGAGGTTTTCGCTTAAGAATACCCTCTTCTTGCTGAAAGCCGAAGGCTGATGGCTGATAGCCAAACTTTACTGCTTCCTCAAAATAAGTAGGGTAAGGTCGTCAAACTGATCGGCTTCTCCCTGAAACCCCATGACTGCGCCGTGAAGATATTTTCGGATACCCTCAGCATCTGAATCCTTGCACGCTTTGGAATCCGCTACGAGTCGATCCTCCTCATAATACTCGTCTTCAACATTCACGGTTTCTGTAACACCGTCTGTATAAAATACAACGACATCACCGCTTGTGAGTTGGATATGCTCGGCTGCATATTCAGCGATGTTGGGAACCATCTCGTTCGGAAACATACCGAGTGGAATACCGCCAACATCTTCACCCAACCACTTATAGGTACCATCTTTTCTAACGAGCAGTGGCGGATTATGCCCTGCATTGAGCGTTGTCAGGACATTCGTATCGGGGTTAAGATGACTATAGAAAAAAGTAGCGTATTTCTCCTCTGTACCGCTGGCGTAAAGGAGCGAGTTAAGCGTCATAGCCATTTCAATAAGCTCACCGTACAAGGCAGCCGAACTCAGGTCATCTTGTACTGAATCCTCAACTGCGGTGCCTTTTCCTCGTGATAATTCAGAGATGAGCCCTGCACGTAGTGTTGCCATAAGAAGTGCCGCTTGCATCCCTTTTCCAGAAACATCCGCAATCGCGAGTCCCCAATGTCCAGTCGGCAAGGGAATACAATCATAATAGTCTCCTCCAACGGGACCACGTGGCTCATAATGTCCGGCGACTTCATATCCAGGAATGTCTGGGAGTGTCTCCGGAATGAGATTCACCTGGATTTTGCGTGCTTCCTCCATTTCCGCTTGTAACTGGCGTGCATCCAGTGCTTCCTGATGCAGGTGGGCATTTTGAATTGCAACCCCTGCCTGTTTAGCAAAAGAGTCAAGCAGGATTACATCCTCATCGGTGAAAGGTGTGATCATACCACCACGTTCCTCTTTATCACCAACAACGAGGATCCCCAGAATGTCACCGTCGCGTCCAGGAATAGGGACAGCCATCAAATTCTTGCCCCCGAAAAGGGTGTCTGACTTTGGAGGACAGTGTCCCGGCAATCCTTCCCTGACAACAAATTTTAGCATGTCTGCGGACGTTGCTTCCATAGATACGGGTGGTTCCTCACCATACGGAACAACGAGCCCATTAGGACCAGAATGGTCTGTGGCATCTTCAACTAATGTCTCCGGAAAGGTGAAGTGCATCTCAAGTTCCTGACGTTCCGGGTGCTTGAGCATGAGTGCGCCAGCGTTGGCATCTAAGAGTGAGACAGCCTGGTGCACGACCTGTTCTGCCGCGGCTTCAGGTTCAAGGAGCTGGCAGATTTGCGGCGCGCTCTCTGCGAGCATGAACAATCGAAATTTTTCGCTCTGAATCCCCTCCACCATTTGCGAATAAGCGATGGCGATTGAAATTTGGTGAGCAAGGGTTGTTAACAATTCCATCTCCCATGCTTCCAATGCCTCTCTGCCCAAGAAACTTCCTAAACCAATCATTCCGAGAAATTCATCTTGAATCTTTAGAGGCACCCAAAGACGTATGTCAATAGTTTCGACGAACTTGGCAGTCCGAGCGAAGAATTGTTCAAGACCTTCTGGGAGGTTTGTACCTTCAATGAATGAATGTTGTAGCAAACCCTCGATTTCGCTGGGTTCAACCGTAATTGGGGGAAATACTTTATCAGGCGACGATGCAACGACTTCAAGATTTTGCCGCGTCGTGTGGTAACGAAGTATCGCCCCGCGTGTGACTTGCAAAGTTCCGAGCGTGATCCGAAGATAGGTTTCACTTGAATGATTAAAGTTGGTGTGTCCGGAGATCAACGTTTGCCCCAAATGTTCCAACTCAGATAGGCTAAAGATAAGCCGCTCCATCGTCTGCTCTGCGGTATTTGGTGTTTGATGGGCTTGCAAACTGTCTCCTGACGTAGGCTCGCTTGGATCTTTCATAGTATTGCATCCAGATAATGTCGGTTTTTATTTTTTGTTATATCTGTTACTACAAGCATATAGCTAAGACACCGGAACATGTCCTACCCAAAAGGCATCCGCCAATGTAAAGCAAAACAATTTTCGATTTATTTCCGAATCAAAATTTACGCCTAAAAAAGTTATAGATTGGCAATAGCAGATTCTTCGTCTGGGAAGATACCAGCATATTTGGCAAGTGCCATCATGCGGAATGTGCGCTCCTGTGTGGTAGACAACCCACAGAAATTCAGGGTGCCTTCGCGTTCAGTAAGTGCCTCTATAATTTCAATAAGTATAGATATACCGATGCTGTTAATGAGTGTAGTTTTTTCAAGGTTAATTACGAGTTGCGTACAACCATTCTGAATGAGTTCCTGTGCTTTCTCGGAAAGTTGTTCTCCGAGGGCATCATTCAGGTATCCAGTTGTTTCAATCACCGCGTGCTCTTCCGCCTCGCGAATTTGAATATCGAATTTGTCCAACAAATCGCTTACCTCCTTAAGTTCTTAACATGGACTTGTGAACCGCCCCAAAACAGAAACGTGATAGATTAGAAAAGCGTGTCGTTTAACAACACATTTGACACAATTTCGTGAATTATTCGCGACGGTTTCAAAATTGTGTTGCTGACATATTTTAATCATCTACTCGTGCATTTAGATATTGTATCAGAGACGAGTAGATGGTTAACCGCAAGCCTCTATAGGCTTGCGCAAGAATGACACAGCGACCTATTTAGGCGTTTTCTTTTTCGTGAAACTAACAGTGGTCCCGTTAGGGCTGCTTTCTATAACCACTTCATCCATTAAAGCTCTAATAATTTGTAAGCCTCTTCCACGCTTACGTAAATCGGGGTGTACACCTGGGCTACCGAGTAAGCGGGTGCCATCCAGTGTATCTTCAGTTATACCAACCCCTCGGTCAGTGATTTTGACTTCCAACCGATCGTCCGTAACTAAAAACTGAATATGTACTTCCTTATCCTCGCTTTGGCTATGTTCAGAAGCGTTGATACAAGATTCAATGATAGCGAGTTGAATCTCTTCAATTGCCTCCTCGGTGAAGTCCTTCAATTCAGCGAGGACAGAGCCAGTTTTCGCGGCGGCAAGCTCCATATCAGGGTACATTGGTATAGTGAGGAGTACTTTGTGTTCAACTGACACGCTACTTTTCCCTCCTTGCTATGGCTTGTGTTTATATTAAGAAGCTTATAAAATTCGTTCATCTAAGTTGGCACTTTCCGTAAATTAAAGGTTAATGAAAAACTTGATTAAACATAATACTATACTTTTTGAAATTATGTCAAGGCTTTTATCCGCTTGATTTTCTCAGGGTATCCGTAGTATGATGACCCACACACTATGATTAACACTGACTCGGAAAACTATCGCGCGTTTCTCTTTTATAATCCAAGTTGCGACCTTGAAATAAAAGGTGTTATTTTCATCGCATTTTTCAGATTGGACCCATAGTTTCATGAAAACTCAGGTGTAGTAGCAGACGAAACAAGCGATTTTGTTTCATCAACGATCCAACGAGCCTCTGCTATCCGTGTAGATGCGTCTGATAATTCCGGTCGATAGGTTGCAAATTTCACCATATCACAGCTGGCGAGTAATTGCTGCGTCCGTTCAACATAAGGCATGGCTATTTCAGCGCGTAGCATCGCCTGAAGCAATCCGGTCGTTGTCAACTCCAACGCTGGAATATGATAACGTGCGTCGATATATTGGCGGAGGACATACGCAATCTGGGTATGATATGTCTCCATGTCGCCACGCTTTAGCCAATCCGAGGCTTCAATTGCCGCCAGTTTTTCGTATGCTACCTCATGTGCTAACGGTGTGTCATTCTCATCCGTTACAAGGATAGGCAGTGGTTGACGACGTTTTTGGAGATAATACCACACCAAGATAGCGACAAAGCCGAGTATCACTGTACCACTGATGAAATAAGGCAGTGGGTTCTGCGGCACCTCTAAGGGCGGTTTGATATCGCGTAGGTTTTGCCCTCCTAAAGTACTCTGCATAAGTATTTGTATAAGTACAGACATATTTCTTTCGGAAAGGTGCGAAGGGCAATCAGATATATCCGAAACCAATATACAACATCTCACTCAGCACGAGGTTCAATCACTATTGACTTTGGTGAAGTTGGACAGGCGTATTGACACACCCCACATCCTGTGCATCCGGCATCAATAACCTCTACAACGCCATCTGCCGTGAGGTGTATCGCATCCTCGCCAATCGGACACGTATCAACACAGTACGTACAATCCACATCTTTTGTCCGAAGACAGGTTTCAGCACTGAAAACTGCCAAACCGATTTTAATGTCTTCGGCATAAACGGTCTGCAAGGCACCGCTTGGACAGACGTACATGCACGCCAATGAATCGCAGATGACGCATGGCTGTTCCTCTGGGTCGATGTAAGGTGTATTCGCGATGTCGGGTTGGGTGCTTTGTAAGGGGAAAATAGCGTTTGCGGGACAGTTCTTGACGCAGTTGCCACACCGATGACACTTTTCTAAGAATTCCGCTTCGGGCAGTGCTCCGGGAGGGCGCAAGAACGTATGCGTGCTCGGCTCCTCGGCTGGCAAAGGGTCGCTTATCCTGTCATCCAAAAATTCGGCGACAGGTTGTATGAGTTGGTTCAAGGCTTCCTTGAAAAAGCCGCGTCTCCCCGTTTCATCAGGCATTTTTAGGTTCCATCCCTGCGAGTCGTGATCCGCGTTCGCGCGGCACCTTACTCTTCGCTGGCTTTAGGAATCCGGTAGCAACATCTATGGCTCCCTTGCATCAGATGTTCCTCTCGAACGACTTTCGCACCCAAAGATTGCCGGAAGAGTGCCGTTTCAATTTCGCAGACGTGTGGATATTCCTGCGCAATCGCCACGATAGGGCATTATGCTCAATTAAGACGTAGTCATCTTCATTTTCGTCAAAGCGCGCCATGTACCCTTCTTCATCACGGATACGGGCGAGTTCCTTGACGCGTTCGGGTAGGTTTTTACCTTGAAGCCGTAATTGATACGTTTGCAATTGCGCTTTCATCCGACCCCGAAAGACTTTGTTGATGAAACCGGGTCCATTGAATTTCGCCACTTCATTCATCAAACCAACAGCAAAGTTGGCATAAGTCGTGGGAAAGAGACCGTTTGCGGCATCGGTCAATCGATAAATGTGAGGTGGACGGCCACGTCCCTGCTTTTCTTGGTGGTATTCGACTAACCCATCTGCTTCAAGTATGGCGAGGTGTTGTCGGATTCCCATTTGGCTGATATGCAAAGCATCTCCCAGCTGACTCACAGTCATGCCGGCCCGCATTTTCAGCAGTTGCAGGATTCGCATTCGGGTTTCGCTCATTTGACAATTCACGTGATTTCCTCGTAATATGGGGTAAAGTAATGCGGGTTAACAAGCAATATCTATATGTTTTTCCATCTTTTAGAAGATTATACCACAACTGAGATTACAATTCAACATAATTCAACATTTATAGCAGAGCCATTCAGTTTTCGATTCTTCGGTCAAGTTTCTACCTCACGCCCGGTAGGTGCAGTTTTGCGGCGTACTCGCCCAAATGCGATCTGCATTCCTAACCGCACCGAATCGTCAAAAGAGATGTCAAACCCAATCCTACTACTTTGTGAAATCGAAACTACTGTGCGCGGCTAACCACTGATAACCAACAACTGAATATCCCGACTATTTTTCCTTTGTCTATTTATTGCCCATGTGATACAATTTTGCAAAGGCTTTATCGCAAGCCGAGAGTAAAAGGACTGAAAGGAGAAGGTGAAGCATGCACAACGAACTCACCGAATCACAAATTAATTTTTATCAGGAAAACGGCTTTCTTGTCATTGAGAACTTTCTTGATGCTGAGGAATTGGCGGAGTGGCGACGTTGCACCGATGAATCTGTTGAGGAACGACTCGGAAATTCAGTCAAATTTATGACGAACCAGATGGACGCCAAGCAGTTCTACGCGCGGGTCTTTACACAATGCCTCCGTTTATCAGACACACATACTGGCATGCAGAAACTGGTGCATGATCCGAGACTCGGTAAGATGGCAACACAGTTAGCCGGTGTCGATGGCGTGCGAATTTGGCACGATCAAGCATTGATTAAACCGCCCCACGGCAATCCGACCGCATGGCACCTCGATGTCCCGTACTGGTCTTTTGATTCACGGGATGCCCTCTCGTTCTGGGTTGCGCTCGACGATGCCACACTTGCGAACGGTTGTATGTGGTACCTCCCCGGCACCCATAAAGCAGCCCGCTTTGATAACGTTGGCATTGGCATAAACATCGGTGAACTCTTTAACGTATACCCAGAATGGAAACAGATTGAACCGCAGTGTGCACCGTGTCCTGCAGGTTCTATCGCGTGGCATAACGGTCTTGTTGCCCACGGTGCCGGTGCGAATATGACGATCCGCCACCGTAGAGCGATGACGTGTGGTTTCATGCCCGATGGATGCACTTTCAATGGGAAGAAGAACATCTTGCCCGAGGACTATTTCGAGTCTCTTGAAATTGGAGATGTCCTTAATAACGACAAACAGAATACGCTCATTTGGCATAAAGATCGGGACGCTTAACGGATAAATCCTGTGGCACTGCCTCCACAGAAATAACGATATTAATCAGCCATCGGCTATCAGCCGTCAGCTATCAGCAAAGAGGGCTTTCTAAAGACTGTCGGTTTTCTTGTGAGACGAGCGTTTACAAAAACTGACAGGGTGCCACTGAAGGTTTCCGACCGCCGATCGCCGACTGCTAAGAAAAGGAGTACAGGGATATGGCAAAACAGCCAAATATTGTATTGATGGGAGTTGATTCACTACTCGCGACACACATGAGTTGTTACGGGTATCCGCGACTGACAACCCCTCACATTGACCGCTTTGCAGAGGGTGCCACCCTCTTTGAGAAAACTTATAGTCCCGCACGTTCCAACAACGAGTGCCTATGCGTCTATGCTAACCGGGTTGGATACGTTCAGCACACAAGTCGTTGCGTTGCGGCACCAAGGACCGCTCCGCGAAGAGGTCAAAACGTTGGCGGAAATCCTCGGGGACGTAGGCTACGATACCACCTGTGTTGGATTTGCTGGACCAAGCGCACGTGGATTCGATACCTATCTTGAATTCTCTGGATGGGGTCCCGACGAAAGTGGACGTAGCCCCAAAGCGGAAAATCTCAACAAAACAACCATCCCAGAACTGAATCGACTGATCGATCAGAGCGACGAAAAACCGTTTTTCCTATTCCTGCGCCACATGGATCCTCACTCCCCTTATTTACCGCCTGCGCCATACGAACGGATGTTCTACCACGGTGATGAGTGCGATCCGAGCAACACCTCTATGGAACCGGTGATGTCGTTTAAACCGTTTTGCGATTACTTCGCCTCATGGATGCCAGAAGGAATCACTGATAAGGATTATGTTATCGCACAATACGACGGTGCGATCGCTTATATGGACGCATGTATTCAGAGGCTCTTCAATGCCCTTGAAACGCGCGGCGTGTTGGACGAAACAATCGTCGTGCTCAATGGCGATCATGGTGAAACCCTTTATGACCACGAGTGCTGGTTCGATCACCACGGCATCTACGATGTCACCTTGCATGTGCCGCTCATTATCCGTTATCCTGGGCGTGTGCCTGCCGGAAAACGGGTTGCCGGATACAACCAACACAAAGATCTCGTGCCAACACTCCTTGAATTAGCAGATATCGAGACAGACATCGCATTCGATGGAAAGAGCCTCACCCCGTTAATGAACGGCGAGATAGCCTCCTACGACAGCGAGTTCTATATCACAGAATGCACGTGGATGCGGAAGCACGGCTGGCGCACGCCTGAATGGAAACTCATCGTCGCACTTGAACCGGATTTCCACTTCAAACCCCCTGTCGAACTCTACAATCTTATCCAAGACCCCGATGAGAACAACAACCTCGTTGACGAACACCCAGATATCGTCAATGTGCTCGAAATACGGATGAAAAACTGGATTCTTCAGCGGGAACAGGAGACAGGCTTGACGAACCCGATTATGACACAGGGCGATTGGCACGGGAAAAAAGGTATCGGACCGTTCAAGACCTCCGAGCAGGCATACAATACGATGCACATCGGGGATGCAGGGGCAGCAGCACGTTTACAGGCAAAATCTCGCGAGGCGTAATCCGCGATCTTCAGGTGTAATTCTCGATCTTCATAGCACCCAAAACGCAGCTCGTAATGAAATGGAGAGCGGATTCAAGAAGGACATGTCAAAGTCAAACACACGTCATTTAACCGCAAGGAATAATTAAGAGGCGTAATCCGGGTCTTCATAGCACCAAAAACGTAGCTCGTAATGAAATGGAGAGCGGATTCAAGAAGGACATGTCAAAGTTCAAACCCATGTCATTTAACCGCAAGGAATAATTAAAAGATGCCAGACTATAGACGAGATCAGGTTTTAGAACGACTGAAGGCAGAATTGGATAGAGGTAAACCCTTACTCGCTGTGGGTGCGGGAACAGGTATCACGGCGAAATTCGCTGAACAGGGCGGCGCGGACCTGATTGTGATTTACAATTCTGGTCGCTATCGGATGTCGGGGTTCGGCTCCTGCGCAGGACTTTTGGCTTACGGTGATGCGAACGCTATCGTCATGGAGATGGGCGAACGCGAGGTACTCCCCGTTGTGAAAGAGACCCCCGTTATCGCTGGGGTTAACGGCACAGACCCAACACGCCGGATGAGCAACTTCCTCAAGCAGGTCCGCGACGTCGGTTTCGATGGCGTTAATAACTTCCCGACCGTTGGCGTGATCGACGGCACTTTTCGGGTAACGCTTGAAGAGACAGGAATGGGCTTCTACAAAGAGGTCGAGACGATCAGTATCGCGCACGAGATGGATCTTTTCACTATCGTCTATGTCTTCAACCCAGAGGAGTCCGAAAACATGGCAAAGGCTGGTGCAGACGTTATTATTGCGCACATGGGAACGACGATAGGCGGCACTATCGGTGCGGAAACCGCTTTCACGCTTGAAGACACCGCGGTGCGCGTACAAGAGATTTGCGACGCGGCAAGGGTGGTGAACTCAGATGTCATCTGCCTTGCGCACGGCGGTCCCATCTCAAAAGCACCGGAGGCAGCGTTTATCAATGAGAAAACAGATGCCGTCGGCTTTGTAGGTGCCTCCAGCATTGAACGGTTCGCCTGTGAAGAGAGTATTCCGAGGATAACGGCTTCGTTTAAGGAATAGATTAAAATTAAAGCCATTAGACTTAACTATGGTAGATTTTAGAATTAATTAGAAATTCTGCTGAGTACCCATAGGTTGGGTGCCCACAAGGGATGCTCTCACAACATCATGGAAGGTCTACTCGTTTTTCTAATTCACTATAAAAACGACTGAAATTAACCAAAAACCTGCCCGAAACATTGTCCCGCAAGCCTCTATAGGCTTGCGCAAGGAGGGCAGTCCAGAGGTCCATAGTTTAAAAAATGTCCAGTCAGGTCAAAGAAATAGAGATTTTAACTGCCGATGATACCGAGTTAATGCGTATCAGTCGAGAAGGAACGCTGTCTCTGAATCTAAACGAGATGCAGGCGATTCAGACCCACTTCGGAACCCTCGGACGCAACCCTACCGACGTAGAGATAGAGACCATCGCCCAAACATGGTCTGAGCATTGCGTTCATAAAACATTCAAAAGCACCATCCTCTATTCCGAAGAGGGAAAAGAACCCGAGCAGATTGACGGCTTGTTTCCAACCTTCATTCAACGTGCGACCGAGGAGATAGCGAAACCGTGGTGTGTCTCCGTTTTTTCTGACAACGCCGGTATCATCGAATTTGACGAGAAATTTAACCTCGTTTTCAAAGTAGAAACGCACAACCATCCATCAGCGATTGAACCCTATGGTGGTGCGGGGACGGGGATTGGTGGCGTAATTCGCGATTCACTCGGCACAGGGCTTGGTGCGAAGCCGATTTTAAACACGGATGTATTCTGTTTCGGGATGCCGGATACGCCTTATGCACAACTGCCGAAAGGCACACTTCACCCGAAGCGTGTACTTAAAGGGGTCGTCGCTGGCGTGCGTGATTACGGCAACCGAATGGGCATCCCTACAGCGAACGGTGCTATCCTTTTTGACTCCCGCTATACCGCAAATCCACTCGTCTTCTGCGGAAATGTCGGTTTAATACCGAGAAACAGATGCGAGAAATCCGTTGAACCCGGTGATCTGGTAGTCGCCATCGGTGGACAAACGGGCCGTGATGGTATTCATGGCGCGACCTTTTCTTCAGCAGAATTGGACGACACCTCTGAATCCCTCGGTAGCGTGGTGCAGATCGGTAACCCAATTATGGAAAAGAAGATTGTCGATGCCCTGTTACAGGCGCGGGATCGGAATCTTTATCGCTCCATAACCGATTGCGGTGCCGGAGGGTTCTCGTCTGCTGTCGGCGAGATGGGAGAAGATATAGGGGCAGAAGTGCACCTCGAACGCGTTTCTTTGAAATACGAAGGGCTCGCTCCGTGGGAAATCTGGCTCTCCGAAGCACAGGAGCGCATGGTAATCGCTGTGCCACCTAAGAATCTGGATGAACTCATGGAAATATGCGAGGCAGAAGTCGTTGAAGCCACAGTCCTCGGGACTTTCACAGATACGCACAGGTTACAGGTCTTCTATGAAGGCAGAGTGGTCGCTGACTTGGAGATGGAGTTTCTGCACAACGGACTGCCGATGCCTGTGAAAGAGGCGGTTTGGGAGCCGCCGAAGCACCCGGATATGGCATCGCGAGACGAAGGAATCGGGGTTGAAAACCCCTCCTACACGAATGACCTCGAACGCCTTCTCGCAAGTCCAAACATCGCGAGTAAAGAATCCGTTATCCGGCAATACGATCACGGTGTACAAGGCGGTATGGTTATCAACCCACTTGTCGGTGCAGAAAACGACGGACCGAGCGACGCATGCGTTACAACGCCCGTCTTAGGCAGTCGAAAAGGCGTAATCGTTGCGAACGGCATCAATCCGAGATATAGCGACGTGGATCCGTATCTCAGCGCCGCAGCGGCGATTGATGAGGCTTTACGGAATATCATCGCTGTCGGCGGAACATTAGAAAAGACAGCCTTACTGGACAATTTCTGTTGGGGAAATCCGGACAAACCCGACCGACTCGGTGAACTCGTCCGGGCGGCAAGAGCGTGTTACGACATTGCGACTGCTTACGGCACCCCTTTTATTTCCGGTAAAGATAGCCTCTACAACGAATACCGGGACACTACAACCGGTGAACAACGCGCAATCCCGTCAACACTCCTCATATCCGCTATCTGCGTTATGTCCCGACATTCAAAACGCCGTCACAATGGACGTGAAAACTCCCGGCAATTTCATCTATGTCGTCGGCAACACCTACGCTGAATTAGGCGGTTCGCACTACTTCAACATCCACGGTTTTGTCGGAAACACTGCCCCCATGATTCGTCCAAGTGAAGGCAAGTTGACGATGGAACGGCTCAGTACTGCCATCAACAGTGGATGGGTACGCTCGTGTCATGACTGTTCTGAAGGCGGTATCGGTGTGGCGGCAGCGGAAATGGCATTTGCCGGTGGGTACGGGATGTCTCTGAGTCTTGACGGTATCCCTACAGGCGAAGAGATCGGTGCTGACGACTTCCTCCTGTTTTCAGAATCAAATAGCCGTTTTCTCGTAGAGATTGAACCGCGACACCAACACGCTTATGAAAGTCACATGGCTGGGAATACCACTTGGCTGCCTCGGCACCGTTTCAGACACACCCGAATTCGTTATCAAAGGAAAGACTGGACGTCTCGATAGTTGACACGTCAATTGATATTCTCAAATCTGCATGGCAGGTTTTTTAAGTATTCGCAAGGCGTTAAATCAGGCAATTGGTTTATTGACCGTTTTTTCTTATATTCGCCTGCGCCGTTGTTGCAGGCTATCGCTTCGGGTACGGGCATTAAAGATGAAACCAAAAACCGTAGCTCGTAACGGAGTGGAGAGCGGATTTAAGGAAGGGACATCAAAGTTTCAAACCTACGTCGTTTCTCCGCAAGGTAAAATTAAAAAAAGGAAAATAAAAAATGAAACCAAGGGTACTCATCTTACGGACTGCAGGCACTAACTGCGACGCAGAAACGGATATGGCGTTCCAATTTGCTGGGGCAGATACAGCGTTAGTCCATATCCAACACCTTATATCAGACAAAGTTAACCTTGCCGACTATCAAATCCTCGCGATCCCCGGTGGATTCTCCTACGGCGATGACATTGCGGCGGGTATCCTGTTGGCAGTCGAGATGAAACACAAACTGACGAACGCCCTGAATCGATTTGTCGAAGATGGCAAGTTAATAATTGGCATCTGCAATGGGTTTCAGGTGCTTGTGCGAACAGGCTTACTGCCCGGGAACGATACCTCAGAGATGACGCAGCGCGCGACGTTAGCGATGAATACCTCAGCAAAATTCGAGTGTCGGTGGGTGGATTTGGAAACACAGGAGAGCCTGTGCGTCTTTACAAAAGGCGTTAAAGCCCAAGTTTATCTCCCCGTCGCGCACGCCGAAGGTAGATTTACTGCACCAGCAAATGTGCTGTCAGAATTAGAAGCGAACCATCAGGTCGTGTTTCGGTACGCCGAGAGTAGATACCCCAACAATCCGAACGGCTCCGATAGCAATATCGCCGGTATTTGCGATGCAACAGGCAAAATTTTTGGATTAATGCCTCACCCAGAACGGTTTCTGACAAAATGGAATCATCCACGCTGGACACGACTTGTTAAAACCCAAGACACCTGTTCCGAAGAAGGCGACGGATTGGTTATCTTCAAAAACGCGGTTAATTACGTCAAGGCGAATCTTTTGTAGGAACGATCTCCATACCGCAATTCTCGCCTTTATCCGCTTTTCTGTCATAATCTCCGTTAAGCGCGAACCCGTTTTTTTGACCATCAACTCGTGCTTTAATATTTATAACGGAGGCGAGTTGATGATCAAATCGAAAAAAACGGATCGAAACCCCAATAATTAAAAAAATGCAAAACAAGTTATCGAGACACCTACTCCCATTCTATATGAAATTGCCTGTCTTTTGGGCATTCATAGTTCTCTCGGTGTTGGGACAACTGCTGTGGGTCGTTGTCATTTCGCAGGACGTACGGATCGACCTCCGATGGTCGAGTTTCGGCTACGGCTTAGGGATCGGCTTGGGTTTCATGCAGGGGAAGTGGACATCTCGTCTGTGGGATCAATCGTATCTACAGGTTTTAAGGCGGCAGATAACTTTCTGGGAAGCAAAAGGTGCGAAACTCCTGACCTTTTACACCTGCTCGGCACTCGGTCTACCAATCCTCTGCACGCTCCTCATCCGGTCGCTTGACACATTGGTAGGTATTCAATCCTATGTCTTCGGATTTATCGGTGCGATGAATGTGGCGTTGCTGCTATGGGTGCGGCGTATGCCGAAGTGAATTTAGCGAAAGGAACCCTTTCCGGTAGGAACGATATCTGAATAGCAACTTTCCATCCAAACGGTAAAAACATATCTGGTATCATAAACAAGAATGAAACTCGATAGAAACCAAGAAAAAGCCGTGAATCACGTCACAGGTCCCGCTATCGTCATCGCAGGACCCGGCAGCGGTAAAACGACAGTTGTAACGGCACGAATCCTGAACCTCATCCAGACCCACAACATCCCGCCCTCACAGATCCTTGCTATCGCCTTTAATAGAAAAGCAGTTGAAGAGATGGAGACGCGCATCTTACGTGAACTCGCGTCATCAAAACCTTCTCACGAAACCGAGAAACACCAAAAACCCGAAATCCGGACACTTCATGCTTTCGGTAAAGACATTATCACCGAAAACTATGAACGCGCAGGATTTAATCAAGAACCTGATATCTGGACGGGTCAGATAGATGAAATCATCGCACAAGAACAGACCCAGATTGAACGGGATGCCTCCACCATCTCAGTCGCCATCTATAAAATAGAGAACAAAAGGACCGGCAAGTGTTATATCGGACAGACCACAAACCCAGATCGGCGACGGAAGGAACACTTCGACCACTCATCGAACGACAGACTTCGACAAGCGATCCGATCTGAAGGCGAAACACAATTCAGTTTTGAGGTGCTTGAACGGGTCCCAGGACGAAAGGCAAATCGTCGCGAAGCACACTGGATTGCGTCCTACAGAAACCGTGGAGGCGTGTTTAATCGTGCCGATCCCTTGCGGGTACAGTACAGCAACCAAGTCATTCTTGAAATGTTCTGCCAGCATTTCGAGATTCCATACAAAGAACACCTCGATAGAGATCCCGATTTCGAGAACCTCCGTGACCGCTTCAACGACATAAAAGAGACCGTCATGCGAGCAAAACGGCACGTTACGACAGGGCTGTTCGACCCGACCACACTTAATGACCCCGTAGTACAAGCATTTGCCGTAAAATATGAAACGCTCAAAACCGAGGCAAACGCTGTCGATTTCGAGGATATGATTATTCATGCCGCGAACTTACTTAAAACGTGTCCGGATCTCCGCCAAACCTACCGTGACAAATACCCGTATCTGCTCGTCGATGAATTCCAAGACATTGCACCAGCCGATTTCCGACTGATTAAGCTTTTATCGGAGAACCTTTTTGCTGTCGGCGACGACGATCAAGCCATTTACGGATTTCGTGGTGGCGATTCCGAAATTATGCAGGCATTCACCGATCAACGGGATGTCGCAAAATACGAAATCGCGCGCAATTATCGCTCCACATCAACGATCGTTGAACACGCAAGAGCCTTGATTGAGCGAAACGAGCCGCGAATCAGCAAAAACCTTCGCGCCCATAATCCGCTACAGCAAGAGATAAAAATCGTCAAGACAACGCCTGAAACTGTAGAAACCATCCTACGCCGTGAATTGAAATCCTCTCAGGAAATCGCTGTTTTGGCGCGCACTAACTACGAAATCGACCAGATTCAAGGGATGCTCACCAAGCACGCGCACCCTGTCGAGGTGACGACAATCCACAAAGCTAAAGGTAGGGAATGGGAAAAGGTTATCCTCATCCATAACACATTGGAGCGGCGTTTCCCGCGTCGTGATAATAAACTTGCAGAGGAGCGTCGTGTCTTCTACGTCGCGATGACGCGTGCCAAGGTGGAGTTAGTGGTACTCGGTGGAATGTGTCCGTTTGTGCCAGAGTTTGAGAAAATCCCGAAAAACGCCGGTTACTATCTCCGGAAGTTTGCGTATTGGTGTGCGAGAAGGAGACTGAAAAAAGAGAAAGATGTAAAATAGGAATTGTGCTATAATCATCGAAAATAAATTGCTCCACTACAAATCCTAAGTCCAGTCCCTTTATGGTAAACGCATCTCTGAAAAATCAAAATTCCCATCCCGGCGTAACCGTTCGTGCCATTATACTCGGTTTGCTACTGATTCCAGTGAATACCTACTTCATCATGGCAAACCACCTGAAATTCTGGAGCACCCTACCGACGACGATGTCCCTCATCTATAACGTGATTATCACGTTGATGGTGCTCATCCCCTTCAACCTCTTGTTGAATCGGTTTCTGCCTCGGTTCGCTTTGAGGCAAGGCGAACTTTTGACGGTCTTCGTGATGTTATCGCTCTCCTCAGCGATCGCAGGGCACGATATGATGCAAACGGTCATTCCAACAATATCCGACGGTTACTGGTTCGCAACCCCTGAAAATGAGTGGAAACAACTGTTCTGGCGGTATCTCCCTCCATGGCTGACATCTAACGATGAGGCAAGCATGCAGGCGTTCTACGATGGAGAGAGCACTATCTACAGGATGGTGCATCTACGGGGATGGTTGCGTCCGATTTTCTGGTGGACTATCTTTCTGACCGTCCTTATCTGGGTGATGATCTGCTTGGATGTTTTTCTCCGAAAACAGTGGATCGAGAATGAACGGTTGACGTATCCCATCGTGCAATTGCCTTTGGAAATGACAAGGCTCGACGGACGACTTTTCCGATCACCGATGATGTGGCTTGGATTTTCGATTGCAGGCGGTATCAACCTTATCAACGGTCTTCATGTTCTTTTCCCTGAGATTCCTGAAATCCCGGTACGGCATGCTGAAATGGGTCAATACTTCACACAGAAACCGTGGAATTCCATGGGTTGGACACCGGTTTATGTCCGCTCGTTCGCCGTTGGACTCGCTTATCTGATGCCACTGGAAATGTCATTTTCAATTTGGTTTTTTTACTGGTTCTGGAAAGCACAACGGATACTGGGCAGTGCCTTGGGGCTGGATGTTATGCCTGGGTTTCCCTACGATTGGCAACAAGTTATGGGGGGCTACCTTGTGCTTGCTTGTCTCGCACTTTGGGGCGGACGACGCTACTTTTTTAGGATTCTCAAGTATATCTTTCGATGGCGTAAGTCACCAGGTGACATCGACGATAGGAGAGAACCGATGCGCTACCGCTGGGCGACAATTGGGTTAGTCTGCGGCTTGTTTTTCCTATTCACTTTCTCACGACAAGGTGGGATGGAACTCTGGACAATCGTTCTCTACTTTTTAATTTACTACCTCTTAGCGATGAGTCTGACGCGTATCCGCGCCGAAGTCGGACCACCAACGATACGGACATACGCAACGCCTCACGATATCCTCACCGATGTTTTCGGCACACGCTTGATTTCACGTGGTAGTTTAACAATGATGCGCCTTTATCTAACCTTCAACCGCGGGTCCCGCGCACATCCAATGCCGCATACACTTGAAGGGTTCAAACTCGCCGAGGAGACAGGCATGCGTTCGGGCAGACTCATTGTGGCGATGATGTTTGCAACGGTGATTGGCATTCTCGCATCGTTTTGGGCATACTTCGTCGTTGGATACAAAATCGGTGTTGTCAGCGACCTTGGCACGGGGGGCTACAATCTACTGCAAAGTTGGATCTATCACCCAGTTGATACCGACATTCCTGCCGTGATTTTTATTGCCATCGGCGCACTCCTCACCGGTTTCTTTTGGTGGCTACGAACTCTGTTTCCGTTCTGGCCCCTCCACCCTGCCGGTTATATGGTCGCTGGTGAAAAATCAACGATCGGTCGGCTGTGGTTTTCGATACTCATCAGTTGGGCAGTCAAAACAATCTTGCTGAAAGTGGGTGGGATTCGCCTTTATCGCAAAGCGTATCCGCTCTTTTTAGGACTCATACTCGGCGAATTCATGGTAGGTGGCGTATGGGTGCTGATTCGACTTCTTACAGGGATGCCGATGTATTCGTTTTATAGGTAAAAGCCGTCAGCAATCGGTTTCCGTCAGCAGTTAAAGGGTACGTTTAGACCCGTGCCTACAAGAGAAAAGGAGACAAAATATGAAATTAGTAGTTCTATCTTATAGCCACCATGGGCGTAGTATGGCACGCACAGCGAATGGACTCGGACACGAGATTGTGGGAGTTATGGATGCCGAAGCGGGACCTCAACAACAGCTGTCGGACGATTTTCAATGCCCCGGATACGAGACAGCAGCAGCATGTCTTGAAGCAAGCAAACCGGATGCCGCTCTCGTCGCGGGTAAACATATTGAGATGCCGGATCATGTGCAGGCATGCGTAGACCGACGTATTCCGTACCTTTTGGACAAACCGTTCGCGGATTGTGCCGATCGGTTGCGTCCTGCCGCTGAGGCATCTGAAAAGCACGGCGTTTTTAGCGCGCTTGTACTACCGAATCGTGCGAGCCGAATCGTGAGCGTCGTCAAAGAGATGGTCGCTGATGGGAGTCTGGGGGACCTTGTCCTATACAACAGCAGGTTGAACAACGGACCCCCGTCCCGCTACGATCCGACACCTTCGGCTTGGCATAACAATCCGAGTATATCGGGTGGCGGTTGTTGGGCGGTCGAGGCGGCACACGGTATCGATACATTCCTTCAGTTTGTCGGCGATCGAAAAAATCACAGTCGTTGGTGGGGTCATGTCCAACGCCATGCACAGCCGCGGTGTAGAGGACAGTGGTGTTGGTGTGCTACGAACAGAAGACGGTATCACCGGGATCATTGAATCGGGGTTATACGTATCCCTCGGGCAAACGCGGTGGCGATCACTTTCTTCCGATTTGTTGGAACGAAGGCATCTGTATTTGAGCAGTACGGTCGCAACGGTGAACCTTTGATTGAAGTGCATACCACCGAAGGTGTCCAAATTAGCGAAGATATCTCTCACGGGGCACGCACACAGGGCGTGATGGGCAAAGCTTTTGACGCAATCCGTGACGGCGGCACCTTTGAACCGACGGTTGTCGATGCGGTGCGTATCCTTGAGATTCAAGATGCCGTTTACGCACATGCCCGACAGGGTGTGATAACCCACGGTCCGCATCCGATGGGTTGACAACGTTCAGAATGTGTGATAGAATCTTGCCATTCAAAGAATGGAATTGGAAGGAGTGGAATAATATGCTGAATCTAAATACGTCACAAACCCTCGCATGTGCTATCGCTACAGGTTTCGCGTTAGCCCCTGTATTGATCGGGAACGCTGCAAGCCACAATACCATCCTTGCCCCGGACGCCGAACTTAAAGAACTCTTCAACGGCGCACATTTCACAGAAGGACCCACCGTCGCACCAGACGGGACGGTCTATTTCAGCGACATCACCTTTCACGGATCAAACGGATATGCAAGCCGGACATATCATGAGATACAACCCGGAGACTGGAGAGACAACCCTCTTCCGATCTCCCAGTGGAATGTCCAATGGGATGGAATTTGACGCGCAAGGTCGGTTGGTTGTTGCGGAAGGTGCTGACTTCGGAGGACGCAGGATTACTCGTACGGATATGGAAACCGGTAAAAGTGAGATTATCGCAGGTTTATATAACGGAAAACCCTTTAATTCACCGAACGATTTGTCAATCGATGAGCAGGGACGCATCTATTTTACAGATCCACGGTACGCCGGACATGAACCTGTTGAACAACCCATCTTTGGTGTCTACCGGATCGATCCAGATGGCTCTATTCATCTCGTCGTTACGGACGCTGGCAAACCGAATGGAGTTGCCGTTTCACCTGATCAACAAACCCTTTACGTTATCAGTCATGACAACGGTGCCATGGGTAGCTTCCCTGATGAGGTGCCATTGACTAACGGACGTATGGCACTGCTCGCTTATGATCTCTCACCGGAAGGCACCGCGACTTTCCGAAAAATCCTCATTGACTATGCCCCACAAGACGGACCAGACGGTATGGTAGTTGATGCTGAAGGAAATCTCTTTGTGGCGGTGCGAGATGAGGCCCGACCCGGAGTCCGCGTCTATACACCTGAAGGGGAGGAACTGGCGTACGTCAAGACACCCGATAAACCCACCAACGTCGCCTTCGGACGTGGCAAAACGAGCAAGACGCTCTATATAACCGCAGAAAATTGCCTCTACAGCATCCAAACGATGAAAGAGGGGTATCACCTGCCACAGAAGTAGGAGCGAGGTGCCCTTTAAGAAACACCCAAGCAAAAACCCCCTACACTCAAACATCGGGATGTAGGTTGTGCCACGGTGTTGAACTCTCATAAGCGTGTCCAACCCGACACAATAACGGTTCTGTCAAGTGTTTTCCGACAAACTGAATGCTCAACGGTAGCCCTTCGCTGTTCATGCCGCACGGCACAGATAGCGTCGGGTGCACCGTTGTAGTCAAACGGCACGGTGAACCGTTGGAACTTCAGATCCCGGGCTCCGTACGCTCCGTATAACATTTCTGGCGTGACGACATGCGGCGGTGCAGACATTGACGGACAAACCAGTACATCAATCCCCTCAAACACCCTTCTGAGGTGCCCTGTACAGGCGGCTCTCAAATTGTTCGCTTTCGCATAATCAGCACCGCTTACCTGCGCGCCCATATCAAGCCACCCTTGAAACCAAGGACCGTAATCGTCTCGTTGGGAAGGATAGGTGGCTGCATGCGCTAACACCGCCTCTGTTGAGCACAATGTGGGCCATGCGGAAACATATTCATCCACATCCGGCAGTTGTACGTCAACGATTTCAGCACCTTGGGTCGCGAGGACTTCCACGCCAGCACGTACCGCTTCGGCAAGTTCAATGTCAATGTCGTTTGTCGCATAGTTCTCGTCAAACCCGATACGAACACCTGCGATGCCCTGCCCTATTCCCTCAAGCATATTGGGGACAGGATTCAGCAGAGAGGTGGGGTCGTTCGGATCGAACCCAGCAATCGCCTCAAGCATAATCCCCGCATCAGCGACACTTCGCGTCATTGGACCGACATGATCCATTGATTCGGCAAGCGCGAGCACACCGTAGCGGCTGACTCTCCCCCACGTTGGTTTCAGACCGACAATTCCGCATGCCGCTGAAGGAAAACGGATTGAACCGCCTGTGTCGCTGCCGAGTGAACCCAAGCACAGTCCCGCTGCTGTCGCGACCCCAGAACCGCTCGACGATGAGCCTGTCCAACGGTCGGGATTCCACGGATTTTTGGGGATGTCGAATTCAGGATTGTAGCCTCCCATCGCGCCTTCAGTCAGGTTGAGTTTGCCAAGCAATATCGCCCCAGCCGATTTGAGTTTTGCGATAACAGTGCCATCAAACGATGGGACGTGATCCGCGAGCACTTTCGCCGCGCCCATCGTACGGACACCTTTCGTAAAGCAGAGATCCTTTACTGCAATCGGCACACCGTGCAGGGGACCGCGGGACATTCCGGCATCAATTTCCTGTGCGGCTTTCTGTGCGGCAGCCATAGCGGAATCCGCCATCACTGTGGCGTAACTCTTCAATCGCCCATCAAGTTCGTCGATGCGCTGCAACATCGCAGCCGCAATCTCCACAGGCGACACCTGTTTTGAGGCGATCGCTTCCGCGACCTCGGTAATCGTTCTGAAGTGCAACGGCGTTTCAGCCATGTTTTTCTCCTTGCTTCCAGATCCCCTAATTCAAGTCACTTACACGCGGACGTCCTAAGAGACTTACCAACCGATCATCCCCATTTTGCAGAACGTCTTCTGGGACAGGCACGCCGTTGCAGAGACTAAATCGCCAGTATGCCCAGTAGGCGGCGTACTGCGACTGTAAAATATAGCGTGTTTTACCAGAAAAGTTCGGTGCGCCGCGGTGCCAACACTGCGGATCCTGCAGGTAGATGTCGCCCGCCTTGCAGAGAATAGAGGCAGGTTTGTTTCCTTCAAATTCAGGATTGTCCTGATCGTTGGGATGTCTGCCAGAGTAATGACTTCCGCGGACGTACTGCGTCGGTCCCTCCTCAATTGTCTCAATATCGTTCAACGCCATCTGGACGGTAAACCACATCACAGGCATCCGCAGACGGGAATCGTGGCGCGGCATCTCATCGGTAACAGGGAAGTGAACCGAGCCGTCAACATGCCATTGGTCAATCGAGAGTCCGGGAAGGTTTCGGAGCACATTCTGCCCACAAAACTTGCAGTTCTCACCAACGATCGCTTCTGCCAAACTCAGAATCGGCTCTCGAAGGAGCATATCCCGGAAGATTGGATCCAACTCAATCGTGTTTCGTAAAATGAAGGGCAACGACTCACCCGATTCGGCGTGCCCGCCCATCTGGACGTATCTGACATCCGCGAGGTCGGGATTCGTTCTCTCTGCGAGCTGTGGGTCCGCGAAAAGTTCATCGCTTTTCTCGCGTAGTGCAGTAACCTCACCTTCAGTTAGCACGCCCGGAATATAAACGAACCCATCACGGAAGAATTGCTGCGCAATCTCCGCTGTTTTCTCTTTGCTAAAAGCTTCACCCTTGAGTATCGGACTGGTCGCCATGTTGTATCTCCTTTTACGTGAAAATTGAACCAATTATTCAAGGCCATGTAATGTTGTCAATTCAATCCAGATAATCCATTTCTGGTAACAAGTTCCAGCGGTACTGGTCGGCGGGTTGCGTGTTTCGTCCCCATCTGCCGAGAATGTGCGTGTCGGCTCGTTTCGCTACCATCTGCGCTGCAACCGAATCTGGGTCCCACCCATCCAATACCTTCTCAGTCAGTTGTGCCAAGATGTCTTGGCACGCGGGATCCTCTGCTCGGTCATGCAATTCGTTTGGGTCGTCCTTCAAGTTGAAAAGCTGCGGGTGGTTGACCGTGATAGTAATTCAACTTCCACTCACCATCACGAACCATCCGATGATAGCACCCCTCGTCGGTACAATATTCAGAGAAAGCGATGTCTTCCCACGGTGCGTTTGCGTCGCGAAGAATTGGTAAGGTGCTTCGCCCACGAGAGTGTGGTAAAGGTGGTGCCCCGAGTGCATCGAGCATCGTCGCGTTCAAATCAAGCGAACTGACAACTCGATCACACCGTACGCCTTCAGGCAAAGCACCGCGCCACGATAAAATTGCCGGGACTTTCACGGAATGTTCATAAAACGTCTGTTTCCACCAGAGTCCGTGTTCACCGATCTGCTCGCCGTGATCTGAACTATAGAGGATGAGGGTATCCTCGTCCAACCCGTTTTCTCGGAGTGCTGTTAAGATCTGTCCAATCATCATATCCATCCGCGTTACCAACGCCCAATACGCAGTGCGTGCGCGAAGAATTTCGGCATCGGAAACTTCAACAATGCCACATTTTTCACGCCACCACCGAAAGTAGGGATGCAACGCCTCTGAAAAGGGTTCAGGAGTTTGAGGCATCGTCATCTGTTCTTCATACAGTCGATAATCCTCTTGACGGGCAACGAAAGGTTGATGCGGCAGCATAAACCCAACGGAAATCGAAAATGGAGCGTCTAAAAGTCCTGCCCGTTTCTGGACTCCGAGTCGATTGAGGTAATCAACTGTTGCAGCCGTCACATCCTCATCGTGCACCTGATAGGCACTTTGGCCCGCCCCAGATTTTTGGAGACTCACACGTGCCGGTCCTGCTGTGCCGGACAGTTCACCGTGGTCAACCCCACTCCCCCCGTGATAGTTCGGACCGTGGTCTCCGACGAGACGTTCGGCGTATCCGTGCAGCTGATCCGGTCCGAGTGCGTGCATTCGCCCGATAAGCACCGGTTTATAGCCCGCTGCCCCATCGCATGTGCAAAAGTAGGAATACCGGAATCGAGGATATGGCTGTTGGTCCAGACTCCGTTCTCGTGCGGGTAACGTCCACTCAACATCGACATCCGGGATGGCACACAGATCGGAGATGGACAATAGACGTTTTCAAGCACCACCCCCTCGGCAGCAAGACTATCGAGATTGGGGGTTTGCACCAACGGGTCGCCGTAGCAACCCGTCACATAAGGGTCATGTTGGTCAGAATGGATATAGAGCAGATTGGGACCCTGAGGACGCATCTAAAATCCCTCGTGAAACTTCATTGGATTTCCTCCATTATAAACAGATATAGGTTTTTGTCAAGAAAAGTGGTTTTCCAAGGCATGAATTCCAATTATTAAGGCATTTAGTCTTAAAAATTTACTCGATCGTATGGTTGCCCAACTATGAATACGTACGTTTGTAGTCGTGCGATTCATCGCACGTTTTCATCCCAGACCCGGTAGGAGCGGTTTCATGAAGTTTAAATAAATATTTCGGTAATTCGGGGTTACAAACCCTCCTACAAGGATAAGAAAATCGGGGTTACAAACCCCTCCCACATTACCGATTTAAATTCTTAATCTTCATCTAACTGCTCCGGATTCGTCAAAAAAGGAGCGAAATCCGATAACTTCTTAAAACTGAATAGCCCTATCCAGTTATCAGAGCCATTCAGTTTTCGATTTTTTAACCATTTTGGTTGGAAAGTCGCGATTCAAAGGTCGCGCCTACTGGCGTATGTCGGGAATCGGAGTTCCCTCCTACAGGAGAACTGAATGCTTCTGATCCAGTTATATGTCCGTATTGACATTTGAACAGTTTTTATGTAAAATAAAGCCTAATTCCAATACGTCTTTGACAAATTCAGTTCATCTCACCAAAAAGGAGCAAACACAATGGCATTTTTGAGACACATCGCGCTACGGACGCAGGATATGGAAGCCTCACGCCTTTTTTTACGAAACCATCGGTTTTCAGTTTGTCGGATATCGGGGACGCGGCGGGTTAGACCTCTCGGACGGCACGCTGAACATGACGATTCTCCAATACAACGGTACGGAACGCCCACCGTTTGAGGAAGGCACAGAGTTTATCCATTTTGGTATCATTGTTGAGGATTTGGCGAGTATCTACAACACCCTCCGAGACGGCGGTTTTGAATTGATTATGGATAATGTGAAAAAAGGTGATGATATCGACGATAACAAACCGCCGGAACGCTCCTTCAAGGTAGCCGATCCGGATGGAAATGTTGTCGATATTACATGCGCGAAGGATGAATGGCGGGGTGTGACAGTCTAAGAAGAAATCGCTCTATTGTGAAATCGAACTTCAAAACGTAGCAAATAACAACAAGCATATAAACTCTGTTTGTATTGGGAAAGACAATGGCATTTCAATTTCAAGACGCTATGGTTAACGAGTACCTCTCGGAAGGGTATCTCATCTTTCGAGGGATCGTTCCACCATCGTTACTCAGCGATTTACGCCGAGAGGCAGAGAAAGCCCGAGATCTGGCACACAAACTCAATGGACCGCAGACCCAACGGATTCAACCACTATCCAATTACGGCGATGAACTGGATCTGAAGCCCTTCTACGACTACACGGAGTTACCGGAACTTCGAGACGCTATCGAAAAATTGCTCGGTGCCAACTATACACATGGACACGTTGACATCATGGGACTCCTCGTTGAGCCGCTTGAATATCCGTGGCATGTCGGTTGGCACCGAGATGGCGTTGTCGAGGTCCCCCCGGAGGCACGTGATGAGATTGTCAACACGAAGTTAGCGGAAGTCTGGTACGATCTGCGCCACTTTAACCAAGTCAACTGCGCGATTTACGCCGACTCCTGTACGTGGTTCGTCCCCGGCAGTCATCTACGCCAGTGGGATATGCCCGGCGAGGAACAATCAACAAATGATCCGAAGCTGCGGAAACCTGCTGAAGGGCAATCTAACGCTGAAGCCGAACGATTCTGCTTAGAGCACTGTAGACAGTTTCCGGGTGCGGTTCAAGTGCATCTGGGACCGGGAGATTTCATGGTGTATCGGAATCACGCATGGCACACGGGCAACTACATTACCTATCAACCGCGCGCAACGATTCACGATGTCGTCCGTTATGAAGGGAAAAAAGACTGGACAGACTGGCAACAGACGAAATTAGATGCCGTCAAACGAATGAAGGAGAAGCATTCAGATAGAACCGTTTAGGGGCTTCATGGGCAAATTGCAAACGCCACAACTGTCCCTACAACCGATCCACTGTGTACGCCTCTAACAACCGTTCGTCAAGTTCTACGCCGAAACCTGGCGCATCGTTTAAACTGAAAAACCCATCCTGAGGTGCGGGACGTAAGAGACGATACAACTCGTTCTCAACGCCGTCGCGGGAAGGACCAAAGGTCTCTGCCATACACGGCATCGGAAGACAGGCAGTGAGATGTAAACCCCACGGTGTGCCAGCTTGATGGAGCCACGTCGGAATATCCAGTTCAGCGGCTTCACGCGCGATGCGTAGGCATTCCGTGAAACCACCTGCCCAACTGATGTCCGGTTGAATCATATCCGCCGCCTCCCAACGCAACAACTCTCTAAACCCGTATCGTGTGAATTCATGCTCACCGGAGACAATCCAAGCCGGTTGAATCTCTCGCACTAATTGCGCCATGCCTGCATAATCGTCAAGTGGAATGGGTTCTTCGATCCATTTGAGACAGGCATCGGTGGCAGCATCTGCGAAACGGAGTGTGTAGTCTACATCCCAACGGAGATAGATGTCTGCCATCAATTCTGTTTCCGTTCCGACAGCGTCTCGTGCAGCATGTATCAGCTCGACGTTTTCCGTAAATCCGCTCTCACCCTCAGCGAGTCCATGGCGAAGCGGCAGCTTGCAAGCGGCGAACCCATTCTCTGCGTAATAGCCAACATCGGCACCGGTGGCATAGGCAGGAATCTTAAAGCGTGGTGTATCCGTAATAAGACTATAGACAGGCGCGTCCACAATCTTTCCACATAGGTCAACAAGCGCGAGTTCTATGCCGCTCAAGACATAAATAACCAAGCCGCGCCGTCCATAAATTGAAGTGATATGATACAGACGTTCCCATACCTCCTCAACATCAAGCGGATCGCGTCCGATGACGAAGTTCTGGAGGTGTTTCTCAATAATTAGCGCGCCAGCAAGTCCCCCGCCTCAAGACCGTATCCTTTCAATCCCTTATCGGTGGTAATTTCTACGATTAACGCCCCTGCTTGTGCCGCGAAGGGACCTCGCCAATCGACATGTCCTGTTTGGGTAGTGGGTTTTTGCCACTGCCCCTTGGCAAACCCTAAACCGGGCATTGCACGAGGGTTCAGATTGACGTGCCATGTCCGAATTCCGACAACGGTATGTCGTGTGTCTGCGCGCGCTTTCCATGTATCCGCTAACGTAGATCGATTGGATTGCATGATGTGTCTCCTTTGAAAGTCCCGTTTGATTCATAGTCTTGCTCTACAAGCGCGCCTATAGGTCACGATGGCAACGCAAAATAGCCAATTCCTGTGAAGAGGCCAACTATCATCCATAGCCCCACCATCACATATTCTCCGAAAATCAAGCCGAAAGCAACAGGTCTCAACTTGCGATACGTCGAGGCACCGCCAAACTTAAGCGACATGTACTTAATGAACCATCCGATCATAATCGACGACCAGAGGTGGAAGGGTGGATAGGTTGCCCCCAGAAGATAACCAATCGGGTGCAGGGACCACCAGACAAAATTCTGTCGCATCCAGAGCATAAAGCCTGTAAATCCTGCCCCAGCAATCATGCTGTACACCTCATCCCACTTCGTCTCGATGGGGAATTGGATGAGACTGCTCATCCGTTGGAAATAGTTACGCGGCGCGACGACAAATGTCCAACTCTGTAAAAACAGAGCACCTTTGTCGTAAATTAGCGTCAACGATGCGTAAACAGAAACAAGGATTGCTACGGCAATTGAGATAGCTAAGATTGGGGCAACGCGTCGGCGGAGGAGTTTTACCTCATCCGCCGCCTTGAAACTGTGGAGAAAGTTTGGCATCATAAACTCGCCCCAATCGCGTAGAAAGGTGCGCTGAAAACTCAGGATTGCAAGACTCTTATGCCCCAATGCGTTGGAACCCAAAGTAATATCAATGTATTCCGAAGGGAAAAAAGGAGCCTGCACAAGCAACAAGCCACCGTTAACCACCATCCAAGTCAAAACAATAGATGTGATAAAGATAGAGAGAAGTGTCACCACTGCAACCCACGTTGTTACACCTGCGACCACTAAAAACACGACGAGAACGGTAAATCCTAAGAGAAATCCAAGCAGTGCCACACGATATGAGACCGGTTCGTTTGAATCATCTATCGGTTGTCCTTCTACAGTGGCGTGGCTCGTCCTTGCGTGTCCGAGACCAAACGTCTTCCTACAAACGGCTATGATGTGTTCACGCCCGATCCAGAAAACTGCGGGAACAAAAACGAGATAGCCTCCCATCACTTGGCGGCTACAGCTAATCCATGGACCGATGCTGAGTCCGATCGCATTCATGATGATATATTGGAGTTTGAAAAAGAGATAGAAGAACCAGAGGCTAAACGAAACCTCAAGCGTGAGTAAAGAGGCTATCCCGATGACCGAAAAATAGATGACGAACCGCATCGCGGGCCACCATCCGAGTGTATGCCACGGTTTTTCGGTGAAGACGGTGTAGATATTGTAAATAAGTGGTATCTCTGGCACTCTCGGAAAGTGTGCATGCAACCCGTTGATAAGGTGCAATACCACTGGCAATACCATTCCTGCCCAAAGGAGTCTGTTTTTGAAAAAGGTGTTGAGCAGTGTGCCGTGCGCCGGTTCGGCAGCGAGTTGTACCGGAATCTGAATTAGAGGGAACGAAAACCTTTCGCGTTCTACCCATTGCTTTCGGAGAATTGCCGAAAGGCAGAGCGTTGTGAAATAGAAGACCAGGACGAAAAGACCCCAGACGAGTAACGGCTTGAGCCAGAACATCCATGGAACGCTTTCACCCGGAGAAATCCCTTCATAGAAGTCTATTACAGCACGAGGCTCCGTGACGACGAGCCACTCCGGGACGTGCGGATGGAGTGTTTCTGCCCAATCATTTTCCGTCGTCGCGAAGTACTGTAGTGCAACAAGAGAGGGAAGCAGAAACTGCAGTAAACCCATTGACGGAATGCCGACTGCGACGATTAACATCATCCAGACAACGGTTAATTCAAGCGCGGAGAAGGCGAAACGCCCATTTCGCATCAACTTACGCAACGGCACATTGACGAGAAACACCAAAATGAGAAGCCCGAAGATCGAACCAACCGGGAGATGATTGCCTGCGATCTTGGTATTTTGTAGGAAATAGTTGTTGTAGGGTGTGATTGCACACATCGCCCCTACCAAAAGCAGTCCTACGAGAATGGCAGGAAATCGGATTTTTTGGTTTTTTAACGCTTGGGTTTTCCGCTCCGATTTTTCCGTTCTCAAAATCGGGTTTTTGACGGGTATTTAGCAACATCGGGGGTAATTAGCGTGTCTCGACTTTATGAATAGTGGCTTTAGCAACAAATTTCGACGGGTAGCCAAGCAGTATATGTATCTCCCATTCTGATGTTTGTTAATTCCAAACCTTGCTCTTAAAGCACCATCAGCCTTCATCTCTCACTGAAGGACGATAGAGACAGGTTTCCGCATCAACAACGCGCCCATCAGGTAGTGTGTACTGGTTCGGGGTGCCTTTACCCCACGGCTCTTTGAAATCTCGGCTTCGCTCTCTATCTGAGGCTATTTGTTGTCTAACAGACTCCCATGAGAATCCGTCCATGAGCTGTTCATGTAGGGACGCTTCCAGTTCTTGGGACGCCGCCTGACCTGCGAGATTCTCAAATTCATTCGGGTCTGTTTCTAAATCGAAGAGAATGGATTCATCTTCAGGGAAGGCAACATATTTATAGCGAGGGTTTCGGAGCATGCGCATGGGTCCCGTGGTCTGGTTTGACCAGTATTCGGTGATTGCGGTGTTCCGCCACCCTTCAGTGTTACCCAACATAAGATTCGTCAGATCTGCGCCATCTAAATCTTCGGGAATAGGAATATCAGCTCTGGCACATAGCGTTGGGAAGAGATCATTCAACTCGACAGGGGCAGTCACTCGCTCTCCATGTGATTGCGACAGATGCCTATCCCATACGATTAAAGGCACCCGTGCGGCTGCTTCATAGTAACTTGATTTCCACCATTGTCCGTGTTCGCCTGCCATTTCACCGTGATCGGTCGTATAAACGATGATGGTGTTATCCAATAAACCGTCCCGTTCTAAAAGAGTGAGCAGATCTCCGATGGTCTCGTCAAGGAATTCACAACAGGCGTAGTACGCCGCTCGCGCTTTACGAGTTTCCTCCAATGGGATTTCGTCCGTCTTGAAGTTGTTCCGCAAACCTTTCGCGAACCGGGTGTGTCTGCTCCAAGTGCCCATCTGGAACGTTGGGCATATCCACATTATCGGGCCAATACTTATCGAAGAGTCGTTTGGGGGCTGTGAGCGGGAAATGTGGACGACTATAACTTGCCAGTAGGAACCACGGCTGTTCCGAGGGTTGTGATCTTAAGTATTCAAGCGTTTCCGTATTAATAACCCGTTCTTGTAGCATGCTGGTCGGGATTTCAGTAATTCCAGCCAATCGTGTTCGTAGTCGCGTACCAGATGGGGTCTCCAGCGGATCAGTTTGGTGCCCGGCATATCCCGCGTAGGTCGCCGTAAGGTCGAGATTGGAAACCGTTGTTCTGCTCTTTCCCACCGAAGTGCATCTTCCCAACGAGCGCGGTCGCATAACCGTGCTGTGCAAAATGCGCAGGCATCGTGAGATGTTCAGGAAACAGGACAGACCCGTTATTCCACGCTGAACATCGATGGGCATGTTTTCCAGTTAGCATACACATCCGGGACGGGGTGCAGAGCGGTACTTGGCAGTATGCACTCTCAAAATAAGTTCCAGACCCCGCAAGTCGGTCAAGGTTTGGTGTTTGGACACTGTCGTTGCCTTCACAGCCTATAGCATGCGGACTATGCTCATCGCTCATCAAAAATAGGATATTCGGTTTTTGAGCCATTAATTCAAAAGATCTCCTTTAATCTTCTATAGGGAGTAGATTTCCACAATCTACATTTAGAACATTTTTAAGTACGCGGCACAGCATCTGCATGAAAATCTACACCGAAAGGCAGCGCGATGTCTGAGTCCTTTTGAGCGAAGTGCTCAGAAAAATCAATGAGCGTGAAACCCACCAGTTGTTTTGTCTCTGGATGGAAGCGCAGAATAACATCCTCGGTATATTCAACATAGTCGGTGTGCTCGGGTGCCCCGTTTGTTACATAAAGCACATCCGCCTCCCGGTCATAGACAATCTTAAGTCTATCTTTATTGAGATCCATGAAATCTCCTTTTTCTTATGGGGTACGCGGTAATAATGAAATTGTTACGAATCAGTTTAACAATAACAACAATGCGGGTGTAATTGTGAGGTAAATTGTCAAAATCTTTATAATAGGTATACTTGTGAGGATCTATAGTGGACTGTTTTCTTCTACCTGTTTGGACTGTTTCAAGAATCGCGTCAAGATATTCTCTCAATTCCCAATGATTTTCAAGGATATGCTGCCATCTCTCATCGGTTAATTCAATTAGATTACCCCACCTGTCAGTAACCTGCCACGTAAATACGCCTTTGTCGTTTCGCTTTACCCTCGTATACGCTTAGAAAGTACGTTGGGGAAAATTCTTGCCTTCAATTTAGTTTACACGATTTATCAACGATACGCAAGCAGAATCTGGGTGAGACATAGGGTCATTTAGTTTGTGATTTTTAGCCATTTTGCTCGGAAGATCGCGAGCACAACTCGCTCCTACTGGGGTATGTCGGGAATCGGAGTTCCCTCCTACAGAAGAACTGAATGCTTCCGGGGTGAGACACGGAAAAAATCGGGCTTCCATTTCGCAAGTGTAGAGTGGCAATCATGAAGATGTTTTACAATCCTGATACAAGCATGAAAGCGAATGTGCTTGTCAATGCGACGGGTTTGCCTTGCGTTTCCCTACACCCATTTCGAGTGCTGGTAATACAGTCTCAGAAATATCAAGGGAATAGTCAAAAATCGTCCATCCTGAAGCCCCTAAGGAACGCGAGAGATAAATCTGTTCAACCACCGCATCTGGAGTCAGTAGCGAATTAGTGGCAGTCGCGCCAATACCGGGATAAATGGCTACCTCTTTAGGCATCAGAGCGAGTTGGTTGACGAATAACTCCGTGAAATAGTTCGTATCCTCTGTATAATTCATTGGACAAACGAAATCGACATAACCTGCCTTTGCCCATGCGATCCAGTCCTGTCCAATAGAAGTGACACACGCTGGGTAACCTCCGAAGACGGCTGCAGAAAGTTTGATGTCAGGGTTCGCCTCTCGCAGCCGTTTGTGTAGCATGCGAACCAAGCGAGTGATTTGCTGCGTCCGCCACTCAATATACTCATCGCTATAGGTCCCCGTCCCCGGCAAAACTGCGGCGGGCCATTCGTCAATCTGCTGTCGCGTTGCAAGCGTGAATCTTTTACGGCACTCCTCACAGTAACACGCATGGCTTCCCGGATAACGGATATAATCCAGATGGATGCCATCTACGTCGTAATTCGTTACAATCTCCAGTATGCTCTCTACTTCCAACTGGACGTTTTTCGGGTGTGATGGGCAGAGCCAATTGAGCGGCTTTCCGGCTGCGGAGACTTGGGTCCGTCCATCTTTCCGCATTTTTTCAACGAATCCCTTCGGCGCACCTTCCAAATTCCATGTAATCTTCCACACATGCACTTCTAAATCGTACGTGCGTGCCGCCGTAACACACTGTGCCAGCTGATCTCCATATTGCGTAAAGGTTTTGCTCTGTGGTAAGACTTTACTGGAATAATGCGCCACCCCTGCCCACGCCATATTTGGGAGAATCATGTTCACGCCTGCCGCTGCTAATTCTTTGGCAGACCTGTCCCAATCACCGGGGTAGGCACCGAGCCCAGAATGATTCCACACTGCGCGCCCCTCGGTTTCAAGGCTAATATGCGACAAGAAATAGGCTCTTGAAAATGCCTCCCGGCTTGCACGTGCTGTAGTTATCGCCGCATTGTAAGCCTTACTGTCATACTCGGAGCGCGCCTTCTCCATCAAACGTTTTCCTGTTTCCAAAGCCTGCACCGCTTCCGGCACACCGCTTTCTTGGACAAACATCACCAAAGCCTCAAGTCCATCTGTATGTCCCACAGTGGTCATCATTTCTATAGCCCTTTTGGCAAGTGGGTGCCGAAATTCTGGAACGAGATGTCCTAAGAGTGCAGCGAGGAATCGTGTCTTGGTTAGGATGTCGTCTGGCAGGAAGATGTGGCTGAAGAATACACCCGCTTCGCCCATAAAAAGAGCAGGTAAACCTGTCGATTCTCCTGCTATATTGTGCCAATACCCGATAACTTTCGTCTGAGGCGTTGTCGGTGCTGCGACTGTAATGTTCCACGATGCCTGTCTAATAGATGTCGGCATATTAGGTATTTCGGGCGCGTTCAACTGAATTGAAGCAAACTGTCCAGGTGATTCCTCTTTTAGCCAATCCGTTTGCTGCAAACCCAAGAGCGGTGCCACCGTATCCGCTAAGCTATAGGTTACGAAAAGTTTACCACCACCCGCAACGAAATTTTTCAAGAGTCCCGCCGTCTGTGTTGACAGGACAGCGTTCAATGGAAGAACAATTAACTTACGGGATTTGAGTTGCGTCTTAGAGAGCGACGATTCTTCAAAAGTGTCGGCAGTGAACCCGATGATGCCGAGCATTCGACTGAATCGCTTAGCGACAGAACGAGCATATTGAACGTCTCCCTCTGGCACTCCGGACGCGGTTGTCGGTAAGACAATCGCAATCTGTGCTTGCTGCGAGACGGCAGGGTTGAGTTCACCGATACGCCAGAGGAGCACACATACGAGCAAGATTATCGTGATGCTGCGCCGTTTATTTTCGGTTTGGATCAAAAACATTACCTGTTCCTCTCAACACTTTTAGCGGAAAGTTTTGGATCTCCACCTTTGACAAGGGGTGCTTCCTCGGTCTTCCCTAAAAACTTCTCGATGCCCTGTGCGATAGCAGTGGCGATTTTATGTTGATACGCCGGTGTTGTGAGTTTTTGTCCTTCCGTCGGATTCGATACAAATCCGGTCTCGACGAGGACAGCAGGTACGTTTGTTCCGATCAAAACGACAAACCGTGCGTGTTTGACCCCACGGTCAACCGCACCTGTAGCCTGTACCAACGCTTGCTGTATGTGTCTTGCCAATCGCTTACTATCTTCGCTTTTGCTTTCCTGTATGATCCCCTTCAGCAATGTCTCCAGTTCTTGAATACTGTAGCCGGAGTCCGCATTTTCCCGCGCTGCAATATCTTCTGAGGCTTTGTCCGCACTGGTTACACTCAGATAGTAGGTTTCGATACCCTTTCCTTTAGGGCTTTCACTGCCGTTAGCATGAATGCTCAGAAAGAGATCCGCTTTGTGGCGCGTTGCGAATGCAGTACGCTCCTTGAGCGGAATGAAACGATTGGTATCACGTGTCATCAGGACAGTATAGCCTTTTTGCGTTAGGACCTCACGAAGTTTTTCAGAGATGCTGAGAACAATGGCTTTCTCTTGTAAGCGCCCCTTGCCCAATGCGCCTGAGTCTTTGCCTCCATGACCAGGGTCAATAACAATCGTCTTCGCCGTTAATCCAAATTGACGCGTCAGTGATTCAGGAGCCAAAGGTTTTTTCGTTTCGGGAATAGGTGATGCCTGCTTGGGTTGAGGTTTGGATTGCGTTTGTGCTTGAACTACCCTTTCAGGAAGCGATACTATCGGTTTTCGTTGTATTTTGAATGGTTGCGTTTTGAGTGTCCTTAGCTCCTGAGTTGCAGCAACAACAATTCCGTGATCTATTGAAGATTGGGTAAGATTATTATAAAGCGTCTCGGCGCGTGTGACGTAACCTTGCCTCACATATACGCGTGCCAATTCTAATCGTGCGGAGTCGGATATTTCAGAACCCGCATAGCGACTCTCCACAATCTGGTATTGTGTGATGGCTTGGTAATCGTCACCAATATAGGCATAGCAACGTCCCAACCAGTAATGTGCTCGTGGGACATAGTGCGAGTTAGGATAACTGCGAATCAGTTTCTGGAAGGCCTCAATCGCCTGCTGCGGTGCTTCAGTGTCACCGGTTTTGATGCTCCAAACCCAACTGGAAGCGATCGCGTATTGCGCATCATCTGCTGACCGACCTCGCGGGTTCATGTCAATAACTTCCTGAAACTCTGAAATAAGCGTACGCCATTCAGCGGCAGTCGCATGCATTTGTCCGCCGGTATATGCTTGATGACGCAATGAAGCCTCTCTATAGCCGGACATACTTACACACCCAGATAATACCATCAAAGAGAGAATTAACAGGCAAGCACAACATATTTTCATAATTCTTCCACCCCTTGCGTGATGTTTCTTTCTCATTTTTTTATCTTATATGCTATAAAACAAAACGAATTATTTTCATCTTTCGTTACCAAATTACGCTATCAAGGTGTAATTGTCTTGGATTTCTCAGAAAACTTTACGGACCCTATTTCTCTATTGACTCTCTTCCCAATTCACGTTAAACTAACGGCTAATACTTGACTCTAAAGACGAGGTAAGGAGAACCGATGGAACTGACGCCCCAAGAAATCCAACTGTTTCGACACAACGGCTTCATCAGATTTCCGACGCAACTCTCTAAGGATCATGTGGAGGCACTTAAAGCGGCCGCACTGAAAGACATGGAAGAAGGAGCGGAACCTGTTGCCCGACAAGAGGGTAGAATTATCAGAATCTCTGCAGTCTGGCAGCGGGGTGGCATCTTTCAAGAAACGATTACTTGCGACGAAATCCTCAATCCGTTGGAATCATTACTGGGTTCAAATATAGAATTTGTGCTAAATCGACACAATCATGTCTATCTCCGGATGCTGGTTCAAGCCATTCGCTCGCGTTGCATCGCGATGTAAGCCATTGGTCCCGGACGATTGCGACTGTCTTGATTTATCTGGAGGATACAAATTTGGAGAATGGCTGCACACGGATTGTCCCCGGCTCACATCATCTACCTGCGTTCGCGAGTGTTAAGGACGAAACAATTCAGCAAATCGCTGCAAACCAAGCGATTCCGTTACCGATGCCAGCCGGCGGTTTGCTCGCGATAGATAGCATGATAATCCATTCGGCTGGAATCAATCAAACGGATGGCACGCGGATGAGTATGACCCTCGGTTACCATAGTGTTGATGAACTCGCGTCGGAAGATAATTCAAAGAAAGTGCTTGTCCGTGGCACGCGACCGTACAGCGGAAACGACAAACCAAGGGAATAATTACTATTGGAATCAAGTTTATTGTGCGATTAGGATTAATCTGCAAACAGTGACTGAAAAGCTGCTCTTTTGAAAAAGTTATTCTTTTTTATTTTTTCAAAAAAATACAATTTTTTCTTGACAAACACTAAACTCTGTGGTATACTTAATAAAGTCCTTTAGGTGAGATGATACCCAAATCTCATTTTGGGCGGGTAGCTCAGGTGGCTAGAGCGACAGCCTTACAAGCTGTAGGTCACAGGTTCAAGTCCTGTCCCGCCTACCTGTTAGGTGTTTCTTATGGGCTCGTGGCGCAGTTTGGTTTAGCGCGCCTGCCTGTCACGCAGGAGGTCGCGGGTTCGAGTCCCGTCGGGCCCGTTTTTATTATACTGAATTAGCCACACGTTGTGTTTTACAATGCTGTGGTTTTTTCGTTACAAGACAATCTACCATATAGCAGCAATCTACGAATCTCACTCCTGAATATAGGTATTCAAGCAACACCCACAATAGAGGAGCGGCACCGCCGTGATTGATCTTAAGTTTATTCGAGAAAATATCGAAGATATCCGCCAGATGTTAACAGATCGCCATACGGAAGCTGACTTGGACAGGTTGATAAAATTAGATACACGCTGGCGCGAGAATTTGACACATACACAATCCCTCAAAGCACACCAGAATCAGGTCTCACAACAGATCGCTGAACGCAAGAAGGCAAAACAGGATGCGACAGAGACTATCGCGGAGATGCGTGAACTCTCCCAAAAAATCAAGGAACTCACTGTCGAAAACAACGACACAAAAGCCGAGATAGATGCAATCCTATTGACGATCCCGAATATGCCAGAGGCAAGCACACCTGTCGGCACCAGCGAAGACGATAACATTGAAATCAAAACATGGGGTGAATTGCCCAGTTTCGACTTTGAACTGAAACCGCATTGGGAAATCGCTGAACAACTGGATATTGTCGATTTTCAACGGGGTGCTAAGGTCGCGGGGAGCAACTTTGTCCTCTTCAAGGGTTTAGGGGCGCGGTTAGAACGCGCGTTGATTCAGTTCATGCTTGATTTGCACACGACACAACACGGCTACACTGAAATCTCACCGCCGTTTCTTGCTAATCGTCCTACGATGACCGGGACAGGACAGCTCCCTAAATTTGAGTCAGATATGTACCGCTGCGACAGAGACGAAGAGAACCCGGACAGCGATCTGTTCCTCATTCCAACGGCTGAAGTTCCGGTGACGAACCTTTTCGCGGGCGAGATACTTTCCGGTGAAGATTTGCCCATCTATTATACTGCTTATACTCCGTGTTTTCGGCGTGAAGCGGGGGCTTACGGCAAGGACACACGCGGTTTACAACGCCTCCATCAGTTCGACAAGGTGGAGATGGTAAAGTTCACCACGCCTGAAACCTCTTATGCCGAACACGAAACGCTATTGGCGAACGCCGAGAGCGTTCTGCAGGCACTTGGGTTGCCGTATCGTGTCGTGCAACATTGCACAGTGGAACTCGGCTTTGCCGCAGCGAAATGCTACGATATTGAGGTCTGGGCACCCGCACGGCAACGGTTTTTAGAGGTCTCCTCCTGTAGCAATTTCGAGGACTTTCAGGCACGTCGTGCCAATATCCGCTTCCGCCGTGAAGCCGGTGCGAAACCGGAGTTCATTCACACGCTGAATGCGTCTGGCACAGCATCTGCCGCGTGTCGTCATCGCGCTGCTGGAGACGTATCAGAACC